TTCAATAGAGTTATTCTTTATTCTTTGCAGAAAGTCATGTCTAATTCAGCCTTTATTAACGACTCGTAAATGAAGACATTTGGCTACCCATTGGACTTTGATTGTTGTAGAATGATGGGACATTACATAATTTCACATGACATTCTGCAGTGAAAACTGACTCCATTTTCATCCGATCCTTTTTAATATCCACTTTATGTTCATACGGTTTGTTTGTAAACACACTGTTCGCTTATTTCTGTTTCTCAGAGAGCCATGAGGGCAAAACGCCCAGTCCTTCCATTACCCGTCAGTCCAGCATCGAGACCGATCGTGCGTCACAAGACTTCATGGAGTTCCTCAAGACCTTGCAGAAGCCCGGCAGAGAGATCCAAAAGCAGAGCCGCGCTTTCATAGACAGCATGGGAAATAAAAAGGTCAGAACCAGGGTCACATGCCCACACCAACTTTTAGCTGTTAAGCATTTCAATAAGCATTTTTCTTTTTTTTGTTCGGATGTGCAGGATCTTGGTGCTGAAGAACTGTCTGAGTGTGTGCAGGACTTCTATCAGGGCATGTCTGACCGACTCTTGAATCATTATAAAGGTAGGATTCATTCAGAGATACTGGTTTGAATTGCTCACTGAATCCATTTGAGTGACTACTGAATCTAATTCACTTACTGACCAGATTTTTTTGTAATCGTATTTGAGAGAAGATATTATCTAAATAGTGTGTATGTACTGGCGGAGGCGGGAAATATTTACAAAATGGAACCTCTTCATCTTCAACAGATTTTTAATGAAGTGAGACCAGATCTAGTTTTAGAATTTTTATCTTAGATAAAATAAAAAATAGTTATTCCTTTTTAATCTCTTTCTCGCTGCGAATTCAGCCGAGGTAGCTGGCATGGCGTTAAACTATAAACAAACAAACATTCATATTTAGACTTCTCTTTTAATGGTTTGATCTTTTTTCCAGAAGTCAGATGAATGCTTCCTTTACAGATGTAAACCTCAGTGTGTTCCTCTTTCCTCAGGCTCCTCTGAGAAGGTGGACAGGGTGATGGACCAAGTGGAAAAATACATCATGACACGACTCTACAAGAGCGTCTTCTGCCCAGAGACCTCAGATGATGAGAAAAAAGACCTGGCCACCCAGCGCAGGATTCGGTCAGCCAGTGTTATTTTACTTTCAGTTACATATTATTTTATAGTTTAGGTTTTTGTAAAATATTTCAGTACTTCAGCTTACTTTTATTTCAGTTAGTTAGGAAGGCAACATTTCTCATTTCCGTTTAAGTTTTACATCTAATGTTTATTTATTTAGTCACAGTTTTATTTAAATGAACAAACTATTTTTAATAGTTTTGTTTTTAGTTAACAATAACAACATTGGTAAATGCTTCATATCATTGTTAAAGGGATAGTTCACTTTGAAATTAATTTTTGATATGTTTTAGCTTACCTCAAGGGCATCCAAGATGTAGGTGTCTTTGTTTCAATTTTGATATTTTTAGGTCAAACCGTTCTTGTCTGTTAGTCATATAATGGAGGTCTATGGTCACCACATCAAAGAGCATGCACAGAGAAGTCCAAATTAAACATGATTTAATGACTCGTAAACTCGAAACGAGCGGGTTTGTGTGAGAAAACGAACAGTATTTATATTATTTTTACCTCTTGTAACCACAGCCACGTCTAAGAAATCTGAGGGCACGGGCGCTTCGGTCTGCACAAGCGCCGGAAGTGATCTCTCACACGTGTACATCACTCATTGTTTACACAGGATTTCAGAAGCGTTACCTTTCACAGTGAAGATCTAAACATATTTAAATATACAGGAAATCGCAATGGAAGACGATTTCGATATATCAACAGACAACGTTGAATTTTTTCCGCAACCGCGCGAGACTGAAACACCCGTGCCCTCAGATCACTTGGACATGGCTGTTGTTACAAGAGGTAAAAACGATAAAAATTCTGTTCATTTTCTCACACAAACCACTCGTTTTGTGTCTTAGGCCATCAATGTGTACTTACATTTACGAGTCATTAAATCATGTTTAATTTGGACTTCTCTATGCATGCTCTTTGAGGTGGTGACCATAGACCTCCATTACATGATTGACCGACAAGAACGGTTTGACCTAAAAATATCACTTCCTTGAAATTTAAAGAATGCACATTCCTCAAGAAAGTACAGTGTAATGCTTTTACGGCATTCTCCTTGAAAAATGCTTGGCTGGTTTTTCAGGGCCTTACATTGGGTAACCATTCAGATGTTGTGTGTTCCTGTGGACGAGGAGATCCCAGAAGTCTCTGACAGTGTAGTCAAAGCCATCACGGGTGAGTCTGCAAAGCTTGGTGTTATTTAGTCCTTCATTTGCTGTTTTCCATCAGAATACAGATTTTATTTTGTCTCCCACAGATGTTATTGAGATGGATTCTAAGCGTGTGCCCAGGGATAAACTGGCTTTCATCACCAGTTGCAGCAAGCATATCTTCAACGCCATCAGGGTCACCAAGAACGAGCCAGCTTCTGCAGATGACTTCCTACCCACCCTCATCTATATCGTGTTGAAGGCCAACCCGCCACGGCTGCAGTCCAACATTCAGTACATCACACGCTTCTGCAACCCCTCAAGGCTCATGACAGGAGAGGATGGATACTACTTCACTAATCTGGTGGGTCTACACATAATTTTTGTGGAATAATTTGGTTCAAAACTTGTTTCTTTAATAAAAAATATGCCACAGTTTGATATCTAATGCAATGAAATTTTTCATTTATGTGCCAAAAACAGTTTAGGGCCACTGTAATTACTGCTGAAATTTAGTCATTTGGGAATAAACCTTCCTGTTTAGTCTTGTCTAGTCTTTTTGGATTCACGTTTTTTGATTGTATCTTTTCTTCATCACGTGTTTCCTGCAGTGCTGTGCCGTTGCCTTCATAGAGAAGCTGGATGCCCACTCCTTGAATCTCAGCCCTGAGGACTTTGAGCGCTACATGTCCGGTCAGGCTTCCCCTCGGAGGCAAGACGATCCTGCAGCCTGGCTCCAAAGTGGTTCCCGTTTCAATCCAGCACTTAGCCAGATCCATCAAAATCTCAGCGTCCTATCCAACCTTGAGAAAAGACAGCAGCAGGTCATAGAGGGGGCGCAGAGCCTGCAGACCGAACTGGCAGAATGGCAGGACAGCGTGGCCCACGAGGTGCAGGAGATCCTGGAGCGATACCCACTGGAGATCAAATCACGAGCATCCGCAATCGATGCGGAGAACGTGGAGAACGACAGGCTGCCACCCCCACTTCAGCCGCAAGTGTTTGCGGGTTAGCATAGCATGGTTTCCTGTGCGAATAAGCCAGAGACATGGTCGTACCAAGACGGGTAAAGCATGTTTTTATATGCAATGGCTGCTCTCGTCCAAGATCTCTGCTCCTTGTCTCCCCATAGTTGGGCTGTTACCACTCCACATGCTTTTTAAATGCTTACACGGTCCCCCGTTACATCTTTCCTGCAAACATATTCTTGTGCTGCTGATTCAAAAACTAAATACGATTTTCTAACCTGGTTTTAGAAGATCTGTTGGTAGTGTGATGTACTGAGCTGTTTTTAATTACTGAATCAAATAGCTGCTAATACGTCCTTTAATATGATTGCAAATTTGATGTGATCGTAAACCACATATCAGCTTTTCTCATGTAGATAATTCGTGTTCACTGTAGGGTTTCACCCCCATGCCTTAGTGTGATGTCTTTTTTTATTGATGTATAAAATGTTTTGTCACTCATACTGTATACTTAGGACATTTAAAGTGGAATCCCATGCAAAGATTTATGATTTTAGGTGAATTTGTGTATTTTGGTACGTTTCGAAGATGGTCATTCTTAAATGTTTATTCACATAATCAATAGGATATAATGTTGTGAAGACATTTCAGCAATAAACACTATTTACATAGGAATTTGTTTTCTTACGAAAGAAAATATTGGTATAAAGCTGTGCATTTGCTCACCTAAAATGAATGTGCAGTTCTGTCATGGTGGCCACAGGTTGTATACAAATAACTATTCCTTCTCCAGCCAGGATAGTGTTTTGAATTTGATGTCATCATTCCACATAACCAATTTAGTCGTGATCTTGTTGTTAGTTTTAAAACTACCCTAACTGTAACGGGTACTTAATTAGCAAAACACTATATTCATGTGGAAATAATTGGTTTCATGTACAGTAATGATGTTGATTTATGATATTTTAACTGAGCTGCTTTATTTATGATGTAAATATAACCTGAGGTGTGTTATTTTGCTGTCTGAATGATTATTTATCACTTCGTTGCACCGTAATATATCAACAATGCTGACATGTGATTGTAGAAATGTAGAAACCTTTCTTTTGTACCGAAGCAAACTCTTATTTATGCATGGTAAGTGAGGTTCTAGTGCTTCTAACTCTGAAATGAGTTGATTTGCGTCTCATTGGGTATAGCCTGAATTTAAATGTTTAATTTGCACGTTCACAAGGGACTTGGAAAATGGTTCATTTAATGAGCCATCAGATCCATAACAGATCTGTAGCCCCACCAAACCCGAGTCTCGTACGATGGCTCCACTGCACCTGCAGGCCTCCGGAGCTTCTCAGTATAGAATGTAGGTCGACTCTGAGTCTCTCTGGAGAGTTATACACTTCTTCACTCTACATTTACCCTAATTATTCAGTCAACATGTAACTATTTATGTTTGGTTATTTTAATCATTGATATAACATGTTCATGTTAAAAAAAAAACACCTAAACTTTATTAGTTTGACCTGCTTCAACTTTTACTGTTACCCGAGCACATCGATTTGATATAAGTTTCTAAATGTGATACTACAGTTACGTATTTAGTTACAAAAACGGTTAAAAGGACACAGGCGAAACTGAATAGTCATGAATAAAATATTTGATGTTGGCGCTTTTGAGTGGGCGTGCAAATTCTCCAAATACCCCGCCCACTCCATATGCTAGTTTGTAATTGGTTAATGCTAATACTATCGGCTACCAACAGTGAATACGATTGGCGGATACGGTCTCCCATGGTGACTGACACGGTCTCCCATGGTGACTGACATTGACATATAGGCGCTACATTCGCTGCTTTCTGCTAGTCCATAAACAAGCAGTCTGATGCTGCAATACCTGTTCATAAAACACTAAATTAGTAGCGTTTGATGTAGACAGTCGGATTGACGGGTCTGAGTGCGACATTAAAAGGTAATTGCGTTTTGATGGATGCGAGGTTTTTCTACATGGGTTGCAGAGTTTTGAGCAACCCTTCTAGCTAACTTGCTAACATGCTAACCTGTGCTACATCACCTGCTAGAATGTGTATTTGCGCTAATATTTTATTTGAACAGATTTATCAATCGTTTCTTGTCCTCTGCATTGGTATTGAGTTATATGCTCGCGCATGAAGATTATTATTAACGTTATATTGGTGAATGTGCTCCATTATTATTATTATTATTATTATCCAGATATATTTAATACATGACAGCGTTTGTTATTAGTTCAACTGGTCATTATATTGACCGTCTATGGATTATTTGATTTTTAAAGTCAACCCTGACCACTGAAAGCTTGTGTTGTGTTTGATGCGGATATGTACTTTTATAACACCATAAAGGCCTCCAATGGGAAAATTTTGAAGACTGTGTGCAACTGTGCATGATACTACTGTTATAGTCTTCAATAATGAAATGTGAGCATCTAAATGGGCTCTGCCGTCTGTTTTTACCTCAGTGAAAGCACCAGGATTCTCCTGTCAGATAAATTTGGCTGGCAGAAATCAAACTGGCAGAGATGGATGAGCAGAGTGTTGAGGTATGTTTACTGTGTGTGTCTGTGTGTGTTTTTTATACTAAAAGGCACCAAGTTTAAAATAATAAATAAATAAATTATCAGAGACAAAAACTCGACAAGGACACAGGAAAAGTCTGTCAAGATGTACTCACCCTTATGTGAACAACTTTCCTTCTTCATTGGAACACATAATGTGAATCTATCTATTAGGAATTTTCTAAACACTTGTCAAAATTACAAAACTGACTCAGAACTCCCAAATTCAATTCAAGTTGATTTGTATAGCAATTTTTGCAGTGGATATTGTTTCAAAGTAGCTTTACAAAAAAAAAAAAATGCTTCTTCCAATGTTACAATTTAGGAAGTATTTTGTATCAGCCAGAGATGAGTGTATGAAAGCAATGTCCATATGGCAGTAATGCACAGCTATAATATAATATGTTATGTGGATAGTTAACGTCGCATATTCAGTTAAGCAGACAGCAAATTTGTTAGGCTGCAATTATAACTTTTGGTAGTAATGATTATAATGTAAAGATCATTTTACAATTAATGGGAATATTTGATAGTTTTGTATGTCAATCCACAATTGCGGTCATCTGAAGACTAGAGGTAGAAGAATTAGCGTAGCTGCTGTTCAGAGCATCATTTTTCATACTGATGTGATGAATTCGATCTTCAAGCAAAAAGAATTTGATGAAATATTTGAATCCACAATCTGATTTCTCGTGAACTCGTGATGCAGCCTGAATCATAATCAAAATCACACAAGTTCGTTCGTTGGCCAGAGCAGAACTGGCCCGCTGACTGACCTCCATTCTGTTACCTGATAGAGTTTGGATTTCTTGCTACTGTCGCCTCTGAGGACGTGTAATATTCAGCAATATTAGTGATTTGACTGCATTGACACTTTTGGATGAGAACTGAACTGGATTATTAAATCACTGAACTGACACTATTGAACACTATTTTGTTTTAGAGCTGCTGTACAGCTGAAATGAACTCTGTATCATTGAATTATTTTCCTATTATCACTGTAAAGCTGCTTTTGATGCTTTATGTAAATAAAAGTGACCAAACTAAATGTTAGTTAGGTTGTGAGAAGCACCAAATTACAAAAAAATATAATAGGTGATATAATAGGCGATATAATAGGTGTCTTCATCGTAGTCTACATACGTCATACCCAAGTTTATTGGATGATTTGTAATGATCTTATCGGATTGCTGAAAGCAGGAATCATACGTTTGTCTGAATTGCCTCTTCACTTGCATCCCTCTTCAGAGTATTGCGGAAGTCTTCCGCTGCTTCATTTGCATGGAAAAGCTTCGCGATGCCCGTCTCTGCCCTCATTGTTCCAAACTCTGCTGTTTCAGCTGCATACGGGTGAGCAAACACGTACACACTCATTAACACACAGCCAAGAGGAGCTCACCGTCTACCAGGGCTCTGTGTAATGAATCAACACTCCATGTGCTCTCTTTATTTTCACTTCACAGGATAGAAGTACATTCATGTAAGGGGATTTGGTTTTAAAAGTATTTTTTGGAAAAATGACACACTTCAACTTTAACTGCGGGTCTGTAGATAAACTATAAATAGACTAGTCTTAAAAGTGTCTCACCTCTTTTCTTTCCTGAAGACTGGTCCAAATCAGTTCCATAAAAAAGGCAGTTCTCTTGTCTAACTGCTAGTTGGTCAGACTAGTTCTTAAAATACAGTCATAACATAGTGGGTATGTTTATGCACCTGGCCCCATGTCTAAAAGATTCTAATGAGCTGTATAAATGCTTTTTAGAGGCTTTCCAAGTGCATGTTGAGAGGAATCCCACTAATAAAACTCTTAAAATGTATTTTAATAATTGACCTTTTACTGATTTGAAGGATAAGCTAAGCTAGCATTTATAAATGAGTACATTTTGTTCTTTTTGTTTCTCTTCTTTGCAGCGATGGCTGACAGAACAGAGAGCTCAATGTCCCCATTGTCGGTAAGTTCTGAGGTTCAACTTCAAATGATGCTTTGAGCTCTGACAGTCTTTGGAGTTAATCTGGAGGATTATGTATTGATTTTTCTATTGTTGGAGTTCATTTCAGGGAAGAATTGATTAGCTGCATTAAAGAAACCACATCCAAAAAAACTTTACAAAACTGGACCGGAGCCACCTGATATTTGGCAACAGAAACGCACTAACATAATTGTCAAAGCAGTTTGAAGTGTGTTCAAAATAGTGCTCTATAATTAAATCTCAAACACAAAAACATCTTATACTTGTTTTCGGTTGATGGAAAAAAAGGGGGGGAAAAAAGGAGTTTCAAAATAATGACAGTACACTCGCAGAAAAAAAAAGGTACAAAAGCTGTCACTGGGGTTGTACCTTTTCAAAAGGTACACTTTTGTACCTAAAGGGTGCATATTGGTACCTTAATAGTACATATTAGCAGCTAAATGTACAAATTAGCACATAAAAGGGGCCTTTTACCTTTTGAAAATGTACAGCCCCAGTGACCGCTTTCGTACCTTTTTTTCTGAGAGTGTATGGTAGAACCAACTTGAATCCACAGTTTGCAACACTGTCCTCTCTTCCTTTAAAAAAAAGTGGGAATAATAATAATAAATATTTGTATGGTCATTTTAGCTAATCCAAATTGTAAATGTTGAATTCAGAGCTCCTCTTCAGCTGAGGGAACTGGTCAACTGTCGCTGGGCAGAGGAAGTGACTCAACAACTGGACACACTACAGCTCTGCAACCTCACAAAACACGAGGAGAACGACAAAGACAAGTGAGCCATACACTTATTCACACTGAATATTAATGCAAGTCTAACAGCTCCAGGGTGATGTTTTTCAAATATGGACACTTTTTGGCCCTGTTAAATAACTATTTTTAAAATAAAATTATGTTGGTTATGTTTGTTTTAAAAGAAAGAAATTAATACTTTTATTCAGCAAGGACACATTACATTAAATCGAACAGAAAACATTTTTTTTAACATTATAAATGTCTTTACTATTTAAAATAAATGCTGTTTCAGAACTTTCTATTCACCAAAGATGCCTAAAAATGTATCGCCGTTTCCAACGTTTTCAACATAAGAACATTTTCTTGAGCACCAAATCAGTATGATAGAATGATCATGTGACAGTGAAGCCTGAAGTAATTATGCTGAAAATTCAGCTTTACATTACATGGATGAAATACATTTTATACACGTATATTATAATATTTTACAGTATTACTGTATTCACTGTATTTTTGATTAAATAAATGCAACTGTGGCATAAGAGAGTACCTTAAAAACATTAAAAATCATACGGGCCCCAAACATTTGAACAGTAGTGCGTCAATACAATTAATAGTTCTATATATTAATCACTGTGTGTATGTGTGTGTGTGTGTGTGTGTGTGTGTGTGTGAAATTGATATTTAGTATTACATTCTAATTTAAGTATATAAGATTTTCGTAATTTTTTACACTTTAAACACATTAAAGCGTTTAAAATGTGATCATTTTTTATCATCTATGCATAAAAGGGTAGATTAGCAAAAAATAGTCACGATAAAATGTTTATATATATATATATATATATAAAAGATCTGCCACAGAGAGTATACTGGATTTCATACTCATTTGATTAAATAACTAACTTCATACTAACTTTAATACTGACTGCCAGTGATACTCTCCTAACTCCTAACAGGTGTGAGAACCATCATGAAAAGTTGAGCGTGTTCTGCTGGACTTGTAAGAAGTGCATCTGTCACCAGTGCGCTCTGTGGGGAGGCATGGTATGTGTTTCTGTCTTCAAAACGCATTAGTCAGGCTGGTGGATTACATCTATGGTGTCATTTCCTCCTCGGATGAAACATGACCGGTCACACTTAGGAGCATATTATCAATGAATAACACTGCACCTAATGATGTAAGTCAGTCTCAAACAGGAACTTCTCCTCCCTCCACAGCACGGAGGTCATACGTTCAAACCCCTGGCCGAGATCTACGAGCAGCATGTGACCAAGGTGAACGAGGAGGTGGCTAAGCTGCGCCGCCGGCTGATGGAGCTCATTAGTCTGGTTCAAGAAGTGGTAAGCACCCTTGCTTCTCATTCACGCCCACTCGCAACATTTAGACGAGTTTAGAGTTGACAACTCATAATGGATGATAGTTTACAAGCTTCAAATGCCTTTTAGATGGAACTGCTAATGACAAATGTTATCTAATTACATGTGTTTCTGGTTTGATAAGTGGCGTTTTACATAATGTGTTGCATAATAAAGACGTTTTACATAACTCCAGGATGCCAAGAAACCCACATATATCCATCAGTTACTGATTATAGCACACTTTTGAATCCTATGTCCGGTGATTGTCCAATAGAGGGCACCACAGCACATGTATCCACAGCAAATATAAGATATATTCAAGATGCACAAAAAACATCTAGTGGAAAGTATTAAAGCTGAATTTTCAGTATTATTACTCCAGTCTGTGAAGGATCAGTGTCACAAGTCATTACAATATGCTAATTTGGTGCCCAAGAAACATTTGTTGTTATTATCAGTGTTGAAACATTTTTGTGGAAACCATAATACATTTTTTTTTTGGTTTCTTTGGTGAATAGAAAGAACAAAAGAACAGCATTTATTTAAAACTCTTTTTTTGTCTGAATGAAAGTATTATTTCTTGCAACAACAACAAAATCTTACTGAGCCTCAAATATTGAATGGCAGTGTGTTCATCCACATACTTTTGGCCAGTAATGTGAATCCAACTAAGCTAAAGAAACGTATTCTGCGTTCATTCAACCACATTTTCTTTTTTTTCTTTTTTTTTTTTAGGAGAAGAACGTTGAGGCGGTGCGTGGGGCGAAGGATGAGAGGGTGAGGGAGATCCGGAATGCTGTGGAAATGATGATCGCTCGACTTGATAATCAGCTCAAGAACAAACTCATCACGCTCATGGGTACAAGCATGCTTTTCTTCTGACATCATTGTTATATAACTTGATCTTTGAGGTCATTTTGGTCTGATGTAGTGTTTCTGCACCCACAGGACAGAAGACCTCTTTGACACAGGAAACAGAACTGCTGGAGTCTCTGCTGCAGGAAGTGGAACATCAGGTGTGTGGAGTTATTCTATGAGTAAAATAATACAGACTTATAATACAGAAAATAATACAGAATTATATTTCAGATGCACTATTGCTACCGTAAATCAAATAAGCACATTTGACCGAAAAAAGGAGGACAAACCAAATACTAAGTCCTTCTAAAAATGAAAGTTGATGTTTCAGTTTAACTTTTCACTTACATTGTTGATTGAATGAATTTGCAATGGCAAAAATAGCATTAAAGTGTGACGTGTGTTTCCACCCTACAGCTGCGTTCATGCAGTAAGAGCGAGCTGATCTCCAAGAGTCCAGAGATCCTGCTTATGTTCCAGCAGGTTCACAGGAAACCAATGCAGTCTTTTGTCACCACTCCTGTCCCACCAGACTTCACCAGGTATGCACATTTAGATACTGTGCCTCTTCATGCAGAGATGGGGTCTCAGTGAGCTTGGCAGACTGTGAATAATGAAAACTCTCTCGGCTAATAGAGCCGTTCAATCACAGTGTCTATTTGTAGGCAACACGGTTGGCTACATCCCTTAAAATAATGCTCCTTTATTTACAAATGAATTAAAGTTTGTGGTCAACATTTCTTGAATAGACTCCCTCTGCAGTATAAATCACATGCACTCGTTTGTTCTCAGTGAGCTGGTCCCTGCCTATGACTCCAGCACTTTTGTTTTGGCAAACTTCAGGTAATGACCCTCCCTTTGTCTCTCTTATTAATTTATTTCTTAAATGGTGCATTAGTTCTCTTGCATGACTTGAATTGTTGTCTGAAGTACTCTGCGTCAGAGAGCCGACCCCGTCTACAGCCCCCCGCTCCAGATATCAGGCCTTTGCTGGAGGTTGAAGGTTTATCCGGTACGTTTGTCACAAATTGAAATTCAGATTTTTTTTTTTTAAACTCTTCTTATTCTCATAGACTTTGCGTTTTTGTGGTTTAGGATGGAAATGGAGTTGTTCGGGGAAACTATCTCTCTGTTTTTCTGGAGTTGTCTGCGGGGCTTCCTGAGACGTCCAAGTAGGCCGCACTCACTGATCTTGCTGCATAGTCTAACAAATATCTTACTTTTTTCATGCCTAACTCATTGCATTTCCTCTAGATATGAATACAGGGTGGAGATGGTCCATCAGGCCTCGAGTGACCCCACTAAAAACATAATTCGGGAGTTTGCATCAGACTTTGAGGTGGGCGAGTGCTGGGGGTATAACCGGTTCTTCAGGTTGGACCTTCTCGCCAGTGAAGGATACTTGAATATGCAGACTGACACGCTTGTGCTCAGGTGCGAGCTTGCATATTTAAATTAGACCTTTTTTATAGCTCTAATAGCTCCTTTAATATTAAAGGGGTCATGAACTACATTTTTAAAAAAAAATTATATTCCTCATTGAGGTCCACTTATGATGTTAGCAAGATTTTTGCTTCAAAAAAACATAATTTAGAAGTAAAAGGCAATTTTCTATCCTGTTTTTGACCCTCTCTTTGAAACAACCCATTTTGATAGGCGTGCCGCATTCAAGACTTGGAAGTAAACACCCACTGCTATGATTGGTTAACACCGTGTCTACACCAGACGCAAGCGACGCGATACAACAAAAGTAAATAGAACCCATTAAAATCACTGACGCTGTCTACACTGGATGCGGCACGATGTGACAAATTCCTGAGGTTTTTTTTGCCGTGGTCGCTTTGTCACGTCCGGTGTGGACACGGTGTAACCGTTTTGCAAAATATTTTTCAACCTCCCCGCTACACGTGTGGAATTGGTTTGAAAACTTCTGATGTTCGCCATACATGTTCCTCATCCCGAATCAGAAGACAAACCTACACCTCTAATAACCGTTTGGTAATTATTTATATTTATTCCTTATGTATTAGTGAGGTAGTATTGTATTTTATTACATTAAATTAGTGTTGAAACCACACTGCAGAAAGCTACATAGATTCATTTTTCCAACTGTGAAACATTTATGCGCATTACATCATTTTGGGAGATTGGTTTCAATAAAAGCTGTTTTTGGACTAACAAGGAAGTTTTGAGTTCTGGAACTTAAAGCATATTTTTATAGCAAAATTACCTATATGTCAAAAGGTCAAGGAAATTCATGACCCCTTTAATATACTTTGCACCTGTGTTAGTTATTAGAGCCTTTTGACACAGAAAGCATAATTGTGTTCAAAAACATCTTAACTTTAAAATCTGAACCATTTTCTCTGCTTATAGAATAACCATTCAATGTATCGGATACAGGGGTGTGTCCAGTCTATGCTGTCTCGTTCATTTCTCACGCTCTGCTTTTTCCATTAATGTCACAGGTATCAAGTGCGATCACCTACGTTTTTCCAGAAGTGTAGAGATCAGTATTGGTATATAACTCAGCTGGAGTCGGCCCAGTCCAGTTACGTTCAGCAGATCAACAACCTAAAAGAGGTCAGTGTTAAAGATTGGCAGTTATGTGTAGTTCTATGTAGCCTGGCTAGAAGAAACTACATTGCTTTCTTCTATACAGACTGACACGAATGTATTTATGAATACATTTACTTTTCATGTAATATTAATGTTTTTAAGCTAACTAAATAGATAGTCCACCCAAAAATAAAAAAATCTGCCATCATTTACTCACCTTCATGTAATTCCAAACCTGGAAGTAAGATATTTTGAATAATGTTGGAAAGAGAATGGCTCCTATTGACTTCCATAGCATGCTTGATCCATACCGTGGAAGTCAATAGGAACTGAAACTGTTTTCTTTCCAACATTATTCAAAAGTTTTGCAAGTTTGTAACAACATTAGGTTGACTAAATGATGACAGAATGATTTAAGGTGTGATGTGTGTTACTTAATATTTCTGTTCAGAGGTTGGCCATAGAACTATTCCGTCGGCAGAAGTCACGGAGTTCCTCTCCACCTGATCGACGTCTCTGCCCCACAACTTCCTCCGGGAGAGACTCTCGTCAGGGGAAGAGCTCCTTACTGGAGGAAGGGAGTCAGGCAGCATCAGTGGGGACGAAGGAAGATGAGGATGAAGAGAAGACTCAGCATGATGACTCTAATGTAAGGCCTGAAAGAGCAGCGTGATGACGTTCATAGCTACTTTTTTTATTTTAACCATCAAATGTAAAAAAAAAAACTCTTCCCTTTGAGAACTAGAAAAGTGCAGTTTTACTCTTATAAGATATTATCCATCATTTCATCATAGCCACATCTTTAATTACATCTGTTTCATCATCCTCATCTAAAAGTAGGCTGTGTTTTTAGGCATTTAACATTCACATCAGCGTACACTCATTGTGATCTCTAAAGAAAACAAGCTTGCATACTAATGTAATGTAGTAATGTTCTTGGAGCTATTTGATGTTATATTACGCACATTGGGATGAGTTTGATGATGATGTGTTGATGCAACGTTAGGAGTTGTCTGACGGGGATCTGGAGGTGGACTGTTTAACTGGAGATGAAGATGTCAATCCTCTGGATGGAAGCAGCACCTCTGGAAGCTCCACAGCCACCAGTAACACGGAGGAGAATGACATTGACGAAGAGACCATGTATGTACAAGATTTACAGACAGCCTTACTAAAATTTCAGAATGTGCTTTTAAAGCAGATACACTTGACTTGTTAATTCACCCAAAATATAGGAATATTCTTTCATCATTTACTTACTGTTCTGTTGTTTCAAAATTAGTCGTTCTTTAACTCGCTCAAAGCTATTATATGGTTTCAGAAGTCATTGGAAGTCAAAGAGACTTTTTTTTTTTAACTTGACAGTCTCCATTAATTTCCCTTTTTTTTCTTTTTTTTTTTTCGTTTTTTTGGTTACAAACAGAAGAATATATATATATATATATATATATATGAATATATACAGTATATATATATATATATATATATATATATATATATATATACACACACACACACATATATACATATATACATATACATATATATATATATATATATATACATACACATAATACATAAATGTCAATTTCTGTATATAAAATCAGAACAAAAAAACATTAATTTTCTTTTATTAAGAAATATGCTGTTTGGAGATTCTTTTGAAGGTTTTTATTTGAAAGAAAATAAACTTAAACAGCATGAGAGTGATTAAATAATGACAGGATTTTCTTTTTTTGGCTAAACTATTTCTTTTGACCCAAGTAAAATCAGGTGACATTGTTACTAACAGCTTTATATATGTCTCATCCAATGAGGTTTTAGAGACCGAATTATTTTATTTTTATAGTAATTGATGGAAAACAGCACTTGACGAAAGTCACAAGCTTCACTGTGGTACGTATGTAGATCAAGTAGATCTATTGAGAGTGTTTCTGGCAAAATCGTGATCAGCTCTAATAGCGTTTTTCTATTTGTTTTCTTCCCCCGTATAGCAGTACTCATGATTTGCTAGGTCACACCCTTATGGTGTGGTAAATACTAGTGTACTAAAATGATTGCATAAGGGATGGTGCTTTGTGTGCCAGAGTGTAACAGCTGTATCCTCCTCCTGACTGGAAAACACAGTTTAATTAGGGCTGCTACCACAACTGTGACAGGAAGCCCCTCGCGCACTGTGTTCAACCAGAGAAGAGCCGTTCTATCTACAGTACCCTGTCCTATCACGATCTGAGAAAATGAGCACTATTGGCAGCTTTGACTTGTGTAGGCTCTGTGAGAGTGCTCGTGTTTCTGTAGTGAGGTGTTGAAGTCAGAACCTCACATGTTTCTGCTCATGCTGCCGGCTACCGCCTGCTCACACGGCTCCCAAATGCACACACTGCTCCAACCAGATGAGACGAATGAGTCATCAGAGCCTCTACCTCCTGCTTACAAATGCTCCTTCTCACAGAATCTCTTTTCCAACGTGCACAGCGCACACATATGATACGTGCACTCTTGTTCTCAGGCCCACGCTCATGCTCTCACACCTTTGACTCCATTTGCTCGAGTGTTTTGTGTGTGCGCCCATGGACTAACCGTTGCCTTTTAGGATAAAGTAGGGGAGAGGGGGAATATAAGGTTAGGACCTTATTATCATGTCAAATGCATTTTCTGTGACCTCTTGAGATTGCATGTTTTTGATTTGATTTTTCTTGTTTCTTGTTTAAAGGAGTAGTTCACTTTTAAAAAAACAACTTTTGCTGATAATTTACTCACCCCCATGTCATCCAAGATGTCCACGTCTTTCTTTCTTCAGTCGAAAAGAAATTAAGGTTTTTGATGAAAACATTGGGACATTTGATGACTTCACTGGGAACCAAACGGTTCAAGGTCCAAATGAGAGTTTCAGTGCAGCTTCAAAGGGCTTTAAACGACACCAGACGATGAATAAGGGTCTTATCTAGGACCCTTCGAGTCATGACTCGAAAAAAGATTTGTTCATTTTGATGAACGAGTTTGAACAGGAGAGTCACGAACGAGAATCACAAAACAGAGCAAGACGAGCATTTGTTATTGTAAACTTTTTTATTTATTTTTTAAATGAGCGATCGTTTCGCTAGATAAGACCCTTCTTCATCGTCTGGTGTCGTTTAAAGCCCTTTGAAGCTGCTCTGAAACTCTCATTTGGACCTTGAACCATTTGGTTCCCATTGAAGTCCATTATATGGAGAAAATCCTGGAAAGTTTTCGTCAAAAACCTTAATTTCTTTTCAACTGAAGAAAGAAAGACATGGAAACCAGGAAAACCAGAGAAGTCTTGATTGTATGGTTATTTCATTTAAAGCCACACAATCCCTGCAATGTACATCCACACTTTTTTTCCAACATATAAAGAGAAACCCACAGAATTGTTTTTTTTTTTTCTTCTATATTTTATTAAAAAGAAAAGAAAATCCAATCTACAAAGAGAATTTGTGTTGGTGGGGCCAGTGCAAGTACTAGTAGGGCAAGCAAACATTTGTTCTATGTGTCCGTGTGGAGTCTCAGCTTCTATAAATACTGAAGTGGATCAGCGCAAAGAACCGCTGGAGAGGACTGAGTCATCACAATGTTGAGCCTGAGACAATGGTGCATGTGTTACCCTTACTCACAGACACACACACATACATACTCAGCAGTAAGCTTGGAGCAGAATGCTATCAACACCCCCCTGTGGAGAAGCTTATTTCAGACCATACCACTTCTCACTATTAACAGGGGGAGCCACGCAAATACATTTAAAGCATGTGACTATACGCTGACATGATGCCCGGCCACGCCTCATTTAGATCTATTAGGATCCAATTAATAATTTCCACTCATACACCAAATATTAGAGCTGATCTGGTTATGCATTGTAGTTTTGTTTACTTGCTGCTGACATTCCACTAGTTGCTGAGAAATGATACAAGTGTGAATTGTTTCCATCTGTCGTAGGTCTGGTGAGAATGATGTGGAGTACACTGGGAATCTAGACCTTGAGGAAGGCGAATTACCTGATGATGTTGCCGGGGCAACAGGTGAACCAGATTTTCTCCATCCAACCCTCACTGATACTAATAATGCTGTTTCTCTAATGAAAAGCCAATGTCATGCATATGGCAATCTGGTGTGTTGAAACACTTGGCTTTGAAGTGTCATCGACTGCGGCACGCTTTTAATCAGTTTTAGTCATGAAACCGAGCCAAATTACCATATCAGCCTTTGAGGATTTACTGCAGTTTAATACGCGGTTAGAGCTTCTGCTGAAAGACTGTTAGTGTTTGCTAAATCAAAATGACATTTAATAATTCCCTAAAAAAACTATATTGTTTTTAGAGTTGAAACCGCTGAGCGGTGTTATTGTTATTGTTAAAGTCGGCATGAAACTAAAGTTGTGATCAACTTTTGAGTGAAACTGCCTCTAGAACGAGAAACAAAAATTGTAGGACGGGACTTGATTTTGTCCATCGGAAATTGATTGGATCGTTGGATTGCTGTTATCTCATGTGAGTGACAGGTTGCTGGAGGGCGAAATTATTTTGATGAAAGTTTGTGCATGGATAAGTCATTTATAATAAACAATGCAATATTCCATTAAAAATAATAATTGTAAGTTTTGATTTCATGGGGACTTGATAAAACTGGTAATTGGAAAAAGAATCTAAAATATAAATATATTAAATGAAAAACTTTCATTATTTATTTTCAGGTAATTACCAAGGCAATATTTAAATTACTTTAAGATTATGAACTAAAACTGGAAATACATTTAAGCTAAATGGAAATATATATATATATTTTTAATAAGACCGAAACTAAAATTAAAAACTTAAAGTAAAGTTATTAATAAAAAAATATATTAATATTAATTAAAATATTAATACATACTATAAACATATATTAATAAAACTAAAATGACACTGTAGCTGAGAAACAATTTATACACATAATTTACATAAACGCATTACCACCTTCTGGTGTGTGTATTAAAAAATATTCCATTGTCAATTATTTGTGAGTTAATTTAGATGTTTTCTTAAAATTCTTGGTATAGTCCAGATTAGCATGGATATTGTATAATTTGATAATAGATGACATAATTTCAGTAGTCAATACCAATAGCAAGAAAACTAAAAAAAAACAAAAAAAAACAGCAAGAACAAAAGTGTATTATACACTCTTTTATTAAAATTACATTTAATTGAATTAAAATAATGAGATAAAGCCTAAACCTAAAGACTAAACCTTTGACCTATTTTCGATCCGTACGCTACAAATTGTGATGTAACCTACTTGATCTACTTTTACTTGCTCCTGTACTTTTCATATCTCTACTGGCTTCCACCTTAACCAAAGAGTATAGAAGAACAAGAGGCGAAATGCTGATGCTTTTTTGGTAACAGCCACTAGATGGCGCTTTGGTAGCGCGGCCGCCATATCGGGGTCAAAATTCTAATTGAGGTAGTTTTTCAGTATTTCCATTGTATGCAACTTTACACTTTTACTACTATTATTAGTAATTATTAGTGTCCGTTATCCTGTAACTAATTGCCACTTTGGACATTGGCTGTGTTTTTTTGTTTGTTTACATAGTCTTGCTTTAACAGTCATTGATACAAGATAGGCTAGTACTGCAAAAAAAAACAAAAAAACTGTTTACTGTAAAGCTATTCTATTGCTGTTATATATTTATTGTCAAACATTTACATTTTAGTACAACATTTATTTGCTGAATTAATTTATTTCATTATAGATAACTTATTTTTGTAAGTAACGTTATGTGTACCTCCCGGGAAACGGTCCAATGTTATGTCTCAAGTTATGTGGTGGGTAAAAGCCTGGTTAAGTAGCAACTTCTTTTTAACGGCTATAAAGTTAACTGTTGTGAGTTAAATAATTATTTCAACCTAAAAATGATCTCCGCACTGGACTAAATATATGTATATTATATGACTGCCGAGTCGCTTTCACCCCGAAATGGCAGAAGCGTAGGGCTGCTGCTGGGCGCTGGTGTTGCAATGGAACGTTCAATTGGCTTTCACTTCTTGTCAATATACGTTCTTTGTGTAAGGGTAGCATTATATATACTGTAGTGAAAGTCCTCTCTGTACTAACTGTCTCCCCCTGCTGGTCAGGAGATTCGGGTGCCTGTGCCCGGGGCTCAAGGCGCGGGGCAGGTGCAAGTTCAGCCAGCCTCCTGGAGATCGACCCGGTCATCCTCATCCAACTCTTGGACCTGAAGGACCGCAGTCATGTGGAGTCACTGTGGGGGATGCAGCCCCGCCCCCCTAATACTGTCCTCCAGAGCCAAGGTGTCAATGATGTCATCAATTATTAATAATTAAACATACTCTAAAGTGTCTGTAGCATCTAAAGTCGGTATGATTCATGACTCACTAACCATTTTTGATTGACAGCTGCTGCGGTGCCCTCCCGTAAAGAGCGCGAGCGTCGCCCTCAGGCGGTGCGTCGGTCAGCCCCGGACTCGGGGGTCCTGATCAGACTGAAGGCTCAGATGGCAGAAGTGCGCAGTAAGATGTCAGACGTGAAAGGGCAGCTGGAAGCTCGCAGTGGAGCCGGTCGAGTCTCCTCTCAGGAAGCCTCGACCCACGAGCAGGGCCCCTCCATGGACTCAGAGATGGGACCCAGCCGCAAACCCAGTGAACTGCTCTTCAAAGCGCCCATTTCATCAAGACACTCTCGCAGTGGTATGCATGAGCTGTTTTTAAAGGTTTATTTTGGCCATTTTTGCTTCTTTTCAGACAGTACGATTGGAGAGAGGACAGTTAGCAAATGGGAGATGTGATTCGGGTCGCACAATTGTGCACACGAGGCATCAGCAGTGAGCTAGATACTCCTCATACATTGTGTCATTTAGGTGCCTTTTATAAAAGTTTTTGTGAAATTAATTTTTAAAAGGACAGACAGATATTCCATGTAGTCTTTAAAATTATTATGAGCTCCTAAAACTGCTTGCGTAATGATTGTTAAATAATTAGCAAAATGCTCTGTAGAATATTTTTAGATGGAGGGTGGCATATCACAACTGCACGAAATGTCAAAAATGAGGCTGTTTATTTTTTGTATAAGGTATTAATTTAGTATTTATATAGAGATCAAAATCATTTTTTAAAACAACATTACCATCTACAGGATATATAACATTTTTGTACTCATACTTCATATTTACACTACTGTTCAAAACTTTGTGATCAGTAAGATATTTTATTTCGTTTCATATAACACTTTTATTTAGCAAGGAAGCACTAAATTGATCAAAATACATAAAATATTATTCTAAATACTACACTAATCCAAATAAATGCTGTTCTTTCTATTCATAAAAGAATCCTAAAAAAAATGCGTCATGCAGAAATCTGGTTTCCACAAAAAGGTCCCACTTTATATTAAGTGGCTTTAAGTACCATGTACTTACATTTAAATTAATAATTTAATACAATGGACTTATTGTGTACATACATGTTTTTACATTGTACTTATATTTAAAAAATACCAGCATGTAATTACAGCCGTAATTAATTTATGTAATTACATCTGTAATTACACAGCTGACCCATCCCTTACACTTAAACCTACCCTTAAACCTACCCATACCACCACACCTGTCCCTAACCTTACCTGTATCCCACCTCAATAGCACCAAAAGTGATTTACAATACAACATGAGCACAATAAGTACATTGTACTTATTTTTAAATGTAAGTACATAGTACTTAAAGCTACTTAATATAAAGTGGGACCCACAAAAATATTCATTCGAATCAGATGTTTACAATATTTATAATTCTTAAAAAGAATTAGTTTCTTGAGCAGCAAATCAGCATATTAGAATGATTTCTGAAGGATCATGTGACACTGAAGACTGGAGTGATGATGCTGAAAATCCAGCTTTGCCATCACAGGAATAAATGATTTAAAAATAAATAATAATAAATTATTATAAAAATAATAATAAATGATTTTAAAATATACCACTATTCAAAAAATTTAAAATAATAATACATTATTTAAAAATATTTTTTTATTTGTAATAATATTTCACAATATCTCTGTATTACTTTTTTTTATTATTAAATAAATGCATCATGAGCATACAAGATAAAAATATAATAACATTTTACAGACCCCTAATCTTTTAATGGTAGTGTATATTGTTGTAGATTCAGCCTGACTTTGTTTTGGTCTTCGCTTTAGGGGTGAAGAAGGCTGGTTCGCCTAAGCAGGAGAGTGTGGGAGCGCTGGCCGGACTGTCCCTGCGCCGGACTGTGGATGCCGGAGAGAAGGAGCTGAGAGGAGCGGGCCGAGAGTCCCCTTCTGAACCTGCTCTGTGTCCCAGAGAGGGACCCTCCTCCTTAGATGGTTTGTACACTACACTGTTCATCTCGTAATTATTCAAATGAAATGAGATTGTCAGCATACAGTCTTGTGAGGAAAACGCATTGCATGCTGCTTTTCAGCATATTGCACAAGTAATGCTTTATATGTCGCTTTGCCCATCCCTAGATGCAACCCTAGATTTTGGGGAAAAGCAGACTTCTGGGAAACTCAACCCTGATATTTCAGGGCATCTTCAAATGGTCTGAAATGGCATTTATCTGTGTTTTGCAGGCTCCCTGAAAGCGCGCAGTGTGCAGAGTTCTCCTCCCTCGCTGGGAAGCAGCTCCTCTTCCTCCGATAAGCCCTCTGGCTCCACACACGAGGAGCTGCTGTACGGAGCTTCATCTTCAGACCTGTTCAGCATCACCGCTCTCAATGGAGCGGCTGCACCCGGCACCAAACAGCGCAGGGGTCCAGCCGCTGGGTAATGCACATAAAACAAGCCATCGCTCTGTAATTGTTGCTGTGTCCGAAATCTCCACTCAAAGCACTACTCCCTACCCCCTATGTTGGGGGTAGAGAGTAGAGTAGAGCACTATAAAGTGAGCTCACCAGCATAATAGAAACAGCACTTTCGGACACTGCTCGATCGTCTCTCGGCGCCGTCGATTACATAATCTGTTTTTTAAAATAAATACATTACATTATATTGAGCTTATTTCTCCAAAATTTAAAAACTAAAAGTGATTTCCGGCCGTTTTTGTTATAATGCGCTACTCCACACATGATTATAACTTATTTTTACGATCCGCGCAATGCATGATGGTATGTAGGGCTTAGGTTAGTGACCATCGGTTGTACAATACTTTTCAAAATGCATTCTGGGATACATTGAGTGGACTATATAGGGTATAATAATCATCACTATACATTCGGACAGCACTACAAAATGGCGAGCTCACTATATAGTCCACTATATAGTGAGTAGTGGGAGATTTCAAACACAGCATGTGTGTTTCCGTTCATGAACAAATCCAGTAATTGGGCTTGGTTTGAAGGTTGGTGTTTTTAAACCTAGAATAGACATTTAAATGCTGATGAGATCCTCAGAAATGTTGCACTGATTTTAATTAGTCATAATTTGTTCCATTCAATAACATTATCATAATTTGCCGAGTTTGATTCTGATGCTATAAATCAGTGTATGGGCTTTGTATTAACTCAAAGAAAGAGACTTTGCATGGTTTTCTTCCCTCCACAGTGAATAGTAAGGTAAAATGACACACCAGAGCCAAATATTAGCATTGTGAAAGCTATTGTTTAAGTTTTGCTGGTTTTGATTTGTTTAGTTGTTTTTTTTATATAATATTTTTGGTTTGGTTTCACATATTTTGTTTAGTTAGTTTGTTTCATGTAAAATAACAAGACACATAGGGGCTTAGATTAAGCCAGGATTATACCAGAAGGCATTGGTTTAGTTTTTTAGCTTGTTTTGCATAAAATAGCATGATACATAATGTTTGTTTTTTTACCATGCTAACAAGATTGTGTCCCTCAGGCCTGGCCTGCTGATAGACAGCTCTCTGAACTGTGATCAAGAGAGTGCCTGTGAAATCCAGTCACTGCTGTCACTGGCAGAGCCATCGTCCTCTTCCTCCTCACGCCCTGATGAAGGTGAGACATGAAGATCCGCTCTCAAAAACATGGGCCGTAATTATTGATGCTACACAAATATAACATGCTGCAGTGTGAGTCATTGCACACCCTGTGAAGGAACGCACCGTCATTCAACGGCATATAAAATTAGACGTGTCCTCAGGATTTGACGGTTAATCAAACTCTAAATGGCCCAAAGTTACCATCAGGAGGCTCTCAAGCAACACTCTCTTATCTAATGCTTTATTGCAAAGAAGATGAAGCACAACTAATCATGGTCGTCTGTCCTCAGATCTCCTCAGTGAGAAACAGCCTCACCGCGTTCTGCCGAGCATGAGCAGTGACAGCGAGCTGGACTGTGACACGGAGAACGAGAACGAGGATGAAGTTGTGTCTCTGGAGGCTGGAGACTGTGTGTTTGACACCAGAACACTACCCTGCCCAGGTCTGTATCTCACACTGCTACCACTCAAAAGTTTGGTCACACTTGACTGAACTTGTTTCTTCATGATCTTTTTTATCTAAAGCCTTAGGCTTGAATACTTCTTTTTTTTGTTCTCAATTCAGGTCAAATTGAAAATTTACTTTGAGCCTAATTTGCATATGTAAAAATGCAAAAGCTCATTAAAAATTCAGCGAAAAATGGGTGGGTTAGTTTCATAAAAAAAAGCAACATTTTGAACAAAACCTGAGAAAATCGCATCTCCCCCCTTAAGTGCATAAGTAATGCTTGTATCGCTTGTTTCTGCTCCTGTTTTGATCTGGAGATTAATTAATTTATATTTTATACCTAAACTGATTTAACCCTGGCATGATGCTGAAAATAAATATTAAATAAAAAAAGTTTAGAAAAATTCCAGTTACAAGAAGTGTAATTTAAGAAGCAAAAAACATGCCAATGTCACTTCACTTGGCTGTTGAAGCTAACCACTTCTAATTTAAATAAAAATGAATACTTAATGTTTTTTTTTATTATTTAATTTTGAGGATTAGTTTTGATGTTTTCTAAAATTTGGTAGTTGAAGAAAATGTTTTAATCCAAGAAAAATCATGATATATCATGTACATCTCCCCTTTTAATAGATTGTTGTTCTATATTAGGGAAACACTCTATCACACAGCCTCTATGTTGAATAAATATAATTACGTGCTTTATTAAAGTTTAAAATAGGTCAGAACCTGTTTAGTCTCTGTGTGTGGGCCAGACTGCACCAGCTTATTGTAATATTCCAGTATTGTGATGACTCTTGTTCCAGTGACCCGTGTCTGGTCTGCTTACCTGTGTGTGTGTGTGTCGTTCTCAGGCGAGCAGCTGATCCCTGATGATCTGAGCTTTGTGTCTGGAGAGACCACAGAGAGGTGATCCGCCACCGCAAATGCTACAAAAATGTCCTGAATGTGCTCCTTACAATGATGTCTGTGCACTCACTTTATGTTAAGATCGAACACGTGCTACTGTGTATGTTATTTAAGAGAAACACAACTTTCAGGATGGGAAAGAAAAGTGTTTTCTCTGCATTGTGAAATGCGTAACATTCCGTTATAAAGGTGTATAAATTTATGTGTGCATAACTAGATAATCGTATATTAAAGTTGTATACTACATTTCTTTACTTTTGCAATGCTGCTTATTGTCATACATTTTTATTTTATTTTTATTTTTTGTTGTTGTTGAAATATTTTGGCACATTTAAGTCAGAATGTCAATGCTGCTCTGTTACCGATTCATGTGGCTTTATATGTATATATATTTGTGATTTTTGTAGCTAACCTTCACACACTTCAGCTGTGTAGTCCACAAGCTTTCTATTCCCAAAACATGTTTACATTGACTAAATATCTGCAGAAACGGGAACATGGAGCTGATACAAGTTCAAATAATTTTCTGAATTAATTGTTTTTGTTATATATATGTATATCATATAAGCAGTTATTACACAGCTCAGTTACAAGCATTAGTGAACTCATTAATGCTACATTCCCATTTTTGCTTGTCTCCCCTTTTTGTTTTTATATATATATAAACCCATGTTAACTCCTATAAGATGTCCAAATAAAAGGCAGTTACATACTTAAACCAAAGTCTCGGGTGGGTCCAGGTCTGTGTTTTTAGCCTGCTGGAGTGTTTGTGCGGTGTGGTTTGAGCTCAGAGTCAGACACACATTGATGACAGTGTTTCTGTTGTGAATAGATGTCGTGGCGTCATCAACAGTTGGGAACTGATGCGCTTCTGTTCATCTGAGGTCACAGTGTTGCTCACTCAGTACAGTCTGTTGAAAGTGTAAATGTTTTGTTGAAAATTGTATTAGATTTTGCTGTTTGATCTTTGGCTTATGAATGAACAACAGGTCAGTTCCCCTCCAGCATGTGTCTCTGCAAAGTCTAAAACAATGAAGACGGTCGGTGTTCCTTGACTATTCAATAGAAATCTAATGCTTTGCTTTGTGCTTTAATAATAATGTCCTTATTTTAATGTTTTATGTTTCATATGAGCAATAGAGCAATCTGTTTACTGGTTTATTTCTCTAGCATATTTTTAAAGATTTTTTGTGTTTGGAACGGAGGGAGGCTCAAAACAATCTGGAGTATATGCACATGGACTGTATATTTATCTAAGGTCAAATCTGAGCAAATAAAAGATGTGATACTATTAAATACTTGAGTACTACTTTGAGTCACGTCAATTGCAATAAATGACAGGTCCAATGTCACCCCCAAATAAGAATTATATAATAATATAAAATGAAATTGTTTTTTATAAGATGTAATAATAATACTTATGTTGTTTATGAACAATGACATGTATTCATACTGAGGTGAGGTGTTTTGGACTTTATTTCTTGGCATTTAAATTTTTCTTAAAGATGATTTGTTTACTGTATTTTTTTTAGTCAGCATAAATTAAATGCCTTTATTATAGCACAATCTATATATGTTCTTAATATAAAAACATATATATTTTGACTTTGTTGTTAAAATGTTTATAAAAATGTAATTCTAAATATGATTCTAAAAAACGATTTCTAAAATTTAAACTATGTTTTATTTATTTTAGATTTTGAGGTGAAATATGACCTGGATTTCAGCCTAAAAAAAAATATATATATATATATATATATATACTGCTCAAAAAAATAAAGGGAACATTTAAACAACACTTAAAAAGTAAAAACAAGAAAAAAAGTATTTAATAAGATTATTTCATTCATTCAGATCTATGATGTGTTATTTTAGTGTTCCCTTTATTTTTTTGAGCAGTGTTTATATACACTGCTCAAAAAAATAAAGGGATATATATATATATATATTTATCATTATTTAAAATTAGTTTTTTTTTTTTGGCATTCAATTTTTTCTCAACGGTTTCTTAAAGGGTAATCTAAACTAATTTAGGCTACTGTATAACTGTTTTTATTTCAAATCAGTATACATTAAAAGCAAATACATTTATTATAAATACACTTTAAATAAAATATAGATTTTAAGTTTATTTATTAAGCTAAACTTGTTTAAAAGTTTATTAGAATTGCCATAAACATGATCCAAAATATAGTTGATATAAAATATTACACAAAATATAAAGTAATGATTCTAAAAAAGGACTTTTAAAACGAAAACTATTTCCTGCTTTATATTTTGGTGTGAATGGGCTTTATGCCCAGCTGTACTTCCTGAACTTCAGCCAGCTGCTTGTTTCCTGTCTGCAGTTATTGGCCAAATTGATTAATCCAGGTGTGCCTGACCTCAGTTGTCATGGCAACAATAATCAGACACACCTGAATTAATCAATTTGGCCAATAATGGCAGACAGGAAACAAGAAGCTGGCTGAAGTTCAGGAAGTAGTGCAGCTGGGCATAAAGCCCAGTGTGACCAGGATCTGGTTTTGATGAGATTCACACACTGACTGCGGTGGAACGTGTTAACGCAAACGTGTAAGTTTCACGTTTGAGGGGGTTAAACCGTGACATCTACACGTTTTCCAAAGTGGACCAACGTAATTATTTCACGTCTTGTCGTGATACCCATAGACATCATATCTATGGTGGTGATACCGGGTTGCTTCAGGGCTGTAGTTTAGTGGGTGGGGCTTTGAGCGCACTGCAGACGTCGCGTGATGATGAGAGTGGCAGGTGATTCAGCTCCTCTCGATGGATGCTGAGCGGAGCAGGGCGCGCGCGCGGGAGGGGCTGCTGTGTCTTCATAAATTCTCGTATTGTATGCATCAGGACGGAGCTAAACCACAATATTCCATAGATTAAACCCCTCAAGAACCCGTAATGCATCTTTTAAAGTGGATTTGTGTCCTGTCATCTCTGACAACATCGTTTTGAGGCGGGAAAAACATTGCGAATCGGACATTTTGAGTATTTCCTGAGAGGCTCGCGAGCGCGTTTAGTTCCACAACAAACTGAATACAAAACAGCTTCGGGGAAAGGAAGAGATTGGCATAACAGAAGGTAAGACGTTGGCAAACCATCATGGCATGGCCGTGTATCTCCAGAGCCTGCTGTATGGCTCGGTTCTGGAACCAACTTGACAAGGCCGACATTGCGGTGCCGTTGGTTTTCACCAAGTACTCGGACGTGTCCGAAATGCAGCATCTTCACCTGCAGCAGAAGGTCGCCATAGAAACGCAGCCGCTTCACAACGACCACGACGCGGTGACCAAAGGACCTCCAGCCCATGAAGAGATCATCAGCGGATCTGTGATGCGCCAGGACTTTAAACACTGGAAAGTTCGTCCGGAGCCCAGCTGCAAGCCCAAAAACGACTATCATTGCCCTGAGGTCCCTTTTAACAACGAGACCCAGTATCAGAAGGACTACAAACCCTGGCCTGTCCCAAAGAAGGGAGATCATCCTTGGATCCCCAAACCCTCTCCGACCATCTCAGTGGGCCATGACCGCATCCCTGACAGATCCAAACACACCAAGACAGATGTGATCGACAGTGGGGTGGAAAAGAGTCAGATTGCGGACAAGGTGCAAGAGAAGGAGATCCTGTCTAGTGGAAGGAAAAAGAACCAAGCCAGGAAAGTGACCGTGGTTTCTGAAATCAAAGCTGACTTAAAGTTGGAAGGGCAGGGCATGGGGGATGCCACCACTACAGAGGGAAAGGGAAGGGCAGATGTGGATGCCCTCAACCGGAAGATCAAACAAGAAGTCACCTCTGGCAGCTCCTATAGGTATGGCTGATTATTAATGTATACAGCAGTGGTTTTCAACTGGGTCCCTCTGCAAACTTCCACAGAGGCCCCCTTAGAATTACTTAAAATTATTTAAAATAAGCCCAAACTAGTATTAAAAACAAAAACAACATATTCCCAACTCTTGGAAAACATGGATATGATGTAGCCTAATTTTTTTTTAAAAAGTGATCCCTAAACCTGGAATGGTCATGTAAATTAATAAAATCTTAAAAAGGCATGTACCTTTATATAATGAATGTAATTTTCTAATAATGCCAAGCTCCAAAACATGTTATCTGGTAAAAAATGCTATTTGTCATTAAAAAAAAGTTTTAAATGCTTGCAACTTACAGCAGAAATAAATACCAGAAGTATCTTGTCTGTCACACTGATGTGAAATGTTGAGAAATGAAGGCTTTCAGAGGTAGATTTTGGGGAGAAACAGCAAAACACCACCAACAATGGCATATGTACTAGTGTTATACCTAGTATTGAATATATACATTCATATAAGTGTATAGAAAGGACCAAATGCCCCTCACACTGATACTAAATATCATGACTAAATGATGTCTTATTGAAAAGTTATGGAACAATTAGCTTTAAGTTTAGGGGTTATAAAATTTCATTAGCTCAGAAGCAATAGAACAAAAAAGTGTGTTGTGGAGTAAAAAAGGTCATACAATGGAGGTCAGCTGTGGGTTGAATCTTGTATACTGCTAACAACACCTACAGATGGCGGGACATGCAGGAGAGCGCAGGAACAGATGCTGTTTTTGGAATGACTTTCATTTTCTTCAGGGTTAGCTTTAGGGCTAAGTGAGGGCAGGAAGTGAATTGTGGAATATCCAGTTGTTAATAATCCATTTGTTATGAAAGTGGTGTAAAATTGTCATGTATGTTAGTGGAATTCAGAGAGCACACTTTGCAGACCCCTTCATTACAGTAAGCTTTTGTTTTTCAGCTTGCTAGCATATAAAACAGTGCTTTTTGTTTTGCTTTTATTTGCCAATCTTAGCCTAAAGTTTGTATAGTGCCGTTCCTGGTCCTGCGTGGTATTCTGTTTCCTTTCAATCACTTTTTTATTACAAACAGTGAACAAAAAATGTGTAAAGTTCTAAAATTTGGGTTCTGGATCTGAATTCAAAAGTCTGTCATTGTCATTGTTGAGTAGTTGTGTTTAATTGACAGGTGGCAATTTGTCCATTATTCTCCCACTCATTTATGTGCGCTTGCAAATCACTAATTTGTGCATCTAAACAAGAGTGAGCTTTTTATACTGTACAATTATGGTAAATTGCTTGTGATGTTACTTTGGATAATTTGTTTAATACTAAATGTAAATGGAAACAATGTTGATGGTATTGAATTTACTCTGCATTAAAATAGATTGCATTGGGATGTAGCCTTTAGACTTGCATATATTCGGCTGGTTGTTTGTTGGGTGAGAAGAACTGCATCAGGGCAGAAAATACACAAGAGGAAGAAAAACACTGAGTCATCAGTTCAGTTTGTGTGACAGTCCATGCATGAGTTGTTATAGATTCCTTAAAGCTCAGGATTAATTTTACTTAATCGTATTAGTCTTGAGTTTAGATTTTTTTTTTTTTTGCCTTGTCATGGTATAAACTTTAAAGCAGTGACATAGCTTAAAGGAACCTTTGGCGCAAAATAAACCTTTGGTCTAAAACAGTAACACATTGGTACCTAGTCGACCGTTCTCTGAGATTTATTTTATGAAAAATAAAAATCGCTAGTTAATACCACTAACAAGGCTCAAAATAGCCCCACACTAACACAGTAACATAATGAGGGTCCCTACATGCAAAACGAAGCATTGAGAACATTGAAAGTGTACAGAAAGTTTAATAAGAAGATATTTTATAAAGACAGTCCACTTCACTTATACAGGCAGGAGCCATCTTTGGGAAACAGTCTCGACCATTCAAACCACGAACCACTCTATGCCCTACATACTAGCGTTATAAGCTAAACAGTTTTTAGAGATAAAACATTTGATTATCAAGAAAACAAATCTCAGAGAACAGTCGACCAGGTACCAATGTATTATTAGACCAAAGGTTCATTTTGCGCCGGAGTTGTCCTTTAAGATTTATGACACATGCTGATGATCCTGAATATCAAAAAATGATCCTCTTACTGTAAAAAGTGTTTTATTTTGATCCAGAGAAAACACAGGTGTGCCTTGACAGGATGTGGTGGAGAGAAATTTGCTTCCTTCATTTATCTTTTCATTTATCTCTCTAGTGTCCCTCTCTCTCCCCCCTGCAGATCAATATGCTGCAATTTATGTCTGTACAATGTATTATACGAGCACAAAAACTTGGAAATGCAGTGCAAGTGCTTAGCTTTTATTTTTAATTTGTTAATAATTTTAGGCTTGTTTATTTGTTCCTTATTGTTGACTTTAAAATAGCACACCATATCTCTCTGATTCAATGTGTTATTGATAACTAAACATCGTTTTCAACTAAAAATGGAAATCTTTTTATTCTTTATGGTTGTTAATTGACACGACAACAGCATTTTGGGGTCCTGGAAACTTTTGAAAACAGCTTTTTAAAGTGTTAAAGGGTTTTTTAAAGTTATCATCTCCATGTAAACTACAAAAATGTGAATTTGAAAAAAACAGTGACGTCATCATGCGCATGCATATTACGTGATATGCACAAGCATATTATATTATTGTTCAGTCTATTGGTGCTTAGTGTTTCTTTACAACTACTGGACTGGCATACATACAGCTACAGCATTTCAGTTGTTTTGGGATGGGGTGGGCAAAAATCACGATATGAGTAATTTTATTTTACAATAATCATATATCACAATAAAGTTATTTTTATAGTACATTTTAAAGCACTGCGAGGAATGTCATCCAGTTTCGTTGTACCTTGCACAATGACAATAAAGAATTCAATTCAATTCAAAAACATTTCCGTTTTTAGTGCATCATTGTCATCATTTTAGTGCATCATTGTAAACGTACCCTGAAACTATTAAAAAATATTTGTATCAATTTAAATAAAACTGAAATAGAATCAAATATAAATATTAGATGGAAAAAAAAAATAACCTTGGCAACTAATTGAAATGAAATAAGTTGAAATTAAATCTAAAGCTAAATAGAAATAATAATAAAAAATGACAATAAAATAACACTCCTCTGGTCATATTTAGTAGCTGGGCAAATAATGATTAAAATATTTGTGCAATACATTGTACATAATAATGCAGTAAATGAACATACTTTGTATGCCTTCCCTCTCTTGTGCAGTAACTGAAGGCACTGTAACCATTCAAACACTGGAATCAATAACAGAAGAAGCAGCAGAGCGAGAGAGAGAGAGAAATAAGAGAGAGTTTTGCCTTACAAGGCAGTATTACACCATGGCTGATCTCATTGGGATTCACTTGGAGTCCAAAGTCAATGTCAGAAGGAATATGTTATACTGTAGGTACAGCAGAAACTGAAACACGAGGAAACCTATTGATCTGGACCCATTTGAGAGCAAGTCTGTTACTAGAATAAGAAGTGACTTTACTAATCAAATAATTGTTTTCAATCCTGGTGGATTAATAGAAGGATATTCGCTGTAGCGTCAGGTGCTGTGTGTTGTCATCTGACGGGTCTAGACTACATAAAAATAATCAGGATGTTGTTTTTGGATCCAAGTAAAAAGCAAAACAGCTTTACGTGCTTCTGTTATACACCACGTTACTTCAGTGTGCCAAACCTTCCCATGATGCACTGCTCTGGCACCCCACCACACAATTCTCTTGTGCCAGCATATCACCATAGTGACGGCTGTTCGCAAAAGCCCAAAGCCTGGGGAGAAGAAGAGGTATCAACCTCACTGTATGCTCAAATATACAGATGACTTTTGATGACAACAGTTAATTAAATGTGTGAGCTGATTTGAATAAATATTGTGATTTTCCATTACATCTGTTAGATTAGATTAGGAAGAAAATGAGTAGGACTAAAACAACATTGTTAAACAGTGTTGATGTCCTTTATCAAATGAATGATTTGACAGCTGGTACCAAGCACTGATTTACAATAAGCACACTACGCTCATTGTTAGCAGTCCAATTGTATGTGTGTAAATCCTTCTGTCTTTATGTCTTTCTCATTCACTCTATGTGTGTGTGTGTTGCTGTATAAACTCTGACTCCTCCCCCTTCTTCTTATATTTGTCCTGTGAGTGTTTGCTGCCTGTGGCCTTGACTTCTATAAGCCGCCTTTGTATGTCATTTCAAGCACTCTGACTGGACTTTATTTGTCTTATGTAACAACAACTTTCAGTTCTTTCTTTTTTCGCTCCCCTGTGCTCTCAACAGGAGAGAAGGGAGGCTTCACATTAAATCAAAACACTATAGCCACAATACAATATTATAGTCAAACTCAAAATGCATGCATCTAATAGATGAAAACAACTATTTAATTTCCAACATAATCTCAAATTATGTATTTTTAATAATAGCAAGTGTTGATTTGTCAATTGAAAGTAGTACATTATAATAGTATATACATAAGACTAAAAATAACAGCATTGTGTGGTAGAAATTTCTAAAATGTTTGATTAAATAATACATTTTTTTAATGATTTTTCATAGTTTAAAATTTGAAGTTTGGATCTGGAACAACATATCTATACACATGAAGCATTTGAAAAGTAAATAGTTTCCATTTGACATTCATATATTTACACTCTAAACAGTGCTGTTTTAACCCAAATTTGGGTAAAATATGGACAAACCCAAATGTTGGGTTAAAAATGTCATTTCAAATTTTGACCCAACTTCAATTTTCACTTTCAATTGTCAATTTTTTAATTGCATTTTTAACCCAACATTTGGGTTTGTCCATATTTGACCCAAATTTGGGTTGAAACAACCCAGCATCCCCAAGCTCAAAATTGAAAAACACCCACACAAGTTTTTTTATCACGTTTCTAGAAACCGAGAGTCAGATTTTATTATTTTCTGCTATTTTTGCTGTTGATAAAGAGTCACTTGTTGTTTTTAACCTGTAATATTCCTCTATGATGCATGGGACGTGTGGTTTTCACATCCCCTATTTTCTCTGTGAGGGTTAATGTTCTCCCACATGCTGTCCCATGACTTTGTTCATCAGCTTGGTGATCACAACAGGTCTTTTCTGTTCAGAATCTCCTATTTCTAATTGTAAATGAGTTTCAGATCCAGTAATCTTATCTAATCTCATCTCCAGTAGAACAGTGTGTGATATCAAATGTTCTCAGTTCTTTTTTAAACCTAATCTTAATATGTCAGAATGGTTTATTCTGTTTCATACAAAAAGGTATTGATTTGATTCTTATTCATGGAAGCTAAGCTACTAATTGATCTAATGGCATGATAATGGTTCACCCTGCTTGACATTGCTATCGCTTTCCTGTTCTATCAGTCCTAATCAATATAGTCTGCCCAGTCTGAGGTTGTACTTGTAATGTTACAGAACCAAAAAGAAAGAGAGAGGGTTCCCATTATTAAAAATTGGGGAATTTTGATATTATGTTTTCCAGGCCTGGAAAAGTCATGAAAATATAATATAAATCTTTAAAAATCATGTGGATATCCGATGTTCCATCAGATTTGACAGTGGATTTTTTTACTGAATCATTAAAACCAGTTCACAAATCGTTTTGAACTGATTCGTTAGTCTGTTTTTAAATCTTCTTTAGGTCAGCCTTCACTTCTTAAGGTGAACAGAGTTTGTATATGACTTGTTTTGTGCTGTTCTCAGTGATTTCTGTCTGTATGTGTGCATGTGTGTTGGATGTACTGCGGATAAGTTGGATGTTGGGTAATCTGCAATGCACACAACCTTGAAGTATATACCATTTGTCTGTGTCAATTCAGTGAATAAAGACTCATTACTCATCCAAAAGAAGTGGCCACTGCCTCGGGAAAAGTCGAGATCCAGATGGAGAGAAATCTCTGCATTATCTAGATCTGCACTGCACTGCACTGTCTATTTATAGTCATATTACTAGTATTTATATTAGATGTATTGCTAGTGTACTTCTAAACATGTAACTTTTAGCAGATATATATGAATTTAAAAATATGCATTTCTTTACAGGAAAAAATATATCTAAAATATTAATGACTCATCTTGGGCTTGTTTATCCGATTGGGATATTTCAGGATTTAGCACTAAGCTTCGTATTAGTAGAAAACCTGTAGTATTTTCAAATTACCGAGCTTTCCACCCTCATATCCCCCTGAGACGAGAGATTTATGTATTTTTGGTCTGGAAAAAATCCTCAGATGATGCAAAAATCGTCATTTTGTGTCATCGAAGGATTTTTTTGTCCAGAGGCTTAAGACTACAGTCAATAGTCGGGTCTGTCCCGCATGTCCTCAACCCGCCCATAGAGGGCGATCTCACTCACAGAATGAACACATAGTGTCGGCCATCTTTTTTTGGAAGCTAAGCTAGCAGGCTCTTGTTCTGTGGAGAAAGCTGAGTTGTAGGGGTTACCATCCTCTTTTACCCGGACATGTCCGTCCGGGATTCAGCTTTTGCTTTCTGCAGTCGCCATTCATTGTTTACGTGCACAGCTTTTTGTCTCAACCTAACTGAATTCATTCCGATTGGTGAATCTGAATGTCGTGTTTACATGAACGCTAAACAAGTGATCGGTTGATGTGCGTTTCAACATCGCTAAGAAAATTCCCGCTCCTCCGTGAGAGAAACGAGACCGGTGCGTCTCACAGGTGTCGCTCATCGGTAATCACGCCACCGGCCTCTCGTCGTTCTCCCGCGGCCCTCACTCGTCCCGCTCGCCACAGGAAACATGATGAACGGCGACTGTAGAACGCAAAAGCCGAATCCCAGACATTTTGGGCGATCTCGAAACACATTTTCGGGCAGACTCATCACGGAGACTCACTAGTAGCCTAGACTTGTTGTTTAACTACTGCGCTCTGTTACCGGTAGGCGTGGCCTCCTAGGGCAGCGAAGCAAGTGCATTCTGGGAGTTGTTGTCTTTCATCCACATAAGCCAAAAATACATTTTCTGGCTTTTCTCAGTCTAGAAAGCTCCAAATTAAAAAATAATTTCACATTTCTTCTACATAAATGACCCATTTTAAATACACATTCATCTTTCCAGAGGTGAGGTATCCCTTTAAATGCTCTCTACAGTATGAGAACGTCCCTCCCCCAACTGCTACATGAACTGCACTTTCAGTTTTATACCTTTTTGTATTCACAATGTTGTCTTAAAATTCAGTATGTATGATGAGATGAATTCCCCACTTGATTTTCCAATAATTGTGATGCTATCTGTTTCCTAATATCAGGAATGAGTTCAAAGCCTATGCAGATGTGAAATCTGTGAAGGTCTTCAGGCCCCAGTCTCAGTATAAGCCTCCCGATGAGAGGGCTAATCTGGAGACTAGCTACAGCGCCACCTACAGGGGCTGCCAGGGCAGTCAGCAGCCGGATGACAACAAGGGCCTGGATAGGAGGAGGATTCGCACACTGTACCATGAACCTTACAGAGAGAGCAGCAAGGTAAGAGCCTGTGTGTAGAAGTTAAGAAAAACTAACAGTACTCGGGTTAGAGGTTGAGCATTTACTTTTTTTACATAGCATTTACATAATTGATTACATTGGAAATCAATTATTGTGTTTAGCAACTTTATGATGTCAGCGATTTATGTACTCAGTGACTGGAAAAGAACTGAACAACTGTTTATTTTTTTTCTCAGCCATACTTTTTCTTGACGCAACTTTGGCTTCAGGGGTTGAGTGTCTTTTCTTAGCATCCAATCAACATCCGCTCTTTGTTTCATTATGTTGAACTGTTCTGACTTGCTTTACATTAGCATCAGTGTCAGCTCTGGACTTCTGGGTAATTAATATATTTGTTAACAGTGTGTGTTTTGAGGTCCGTATACTTTTGTGTGACCAAAACTTTATGATTAAAAGTGACTATTTTTGAATAACAAAAATCTGTGTGCGGTATTAACAATGTGAAATCAAAATTATAAGATTTACTTTTTAAAAGTCAGCATGAAAAAATGTCTATTTTTCTTTTTTTGAAGAATTCATCCATGCATATGTTTCATTTAAAAACAATTGTGTCCTCATAACTCCTAAAACGTCATAACTCGATCTTAAAAATGAAGACTTGTCTCTGCTAACATATGATTAACTTCTTCAATCAAATAATCTACTTAAACCCACAAATTTCTTTTTATTGACCTCAAGCTTGCAGCTCGCATTGAGATCTGCCTCCATCCAATCAAAAATCAATGGATAAAACCAAGTGCCTGCCCTACAATTTTCTTTTTCAATAATCCGTTTCACTCAGATGTGCGTTACAATACAGAAGAAAGAAATAGACGTAAATTCAAAGTTCAAAGTATTTTTTTTAATAATTACTTAAAGAAACATACAAAATACCAACAAACTTCAAGATACATATCTTATATGATTACAAATACGTCAAAATAGCAACACAAAAAATAAATGAACATCATAAATCTGACAAAAAAAACATTTAAAGAACAAATAAATAAAATATTACACAAGGGGGTAATCATCAGAAAAAAACTTTCAGAAGATTATATATTTTAAGTTTTTTTTGGTATACACCACTCTTAAAGCTTTAAAGAAGATCATTAAATCTTTATGGAAGAGTAAGAAAGTGGGAGGGTTCTTAAATAATCTACATTTGTGTAGTAATTGTAAGTAATTGGCCAACACCACAATATTGTTCACCAAAAATTCAAGATCGTAACTCAAAGAAAAAGACAAATATTTTATAGTTTTAAAATTAAAGTCAGGAATTTCATATTTCAAACTTAACCAAATATAAACTCTTAGAAGAAAAAGGTTCTATATAGAACCTTAAAAGGTTCTATCAACGCTACGAATTTGGACCACCTACAAGGTTCTATACAGAACCCTTTTTAAGGGTCAATAATAAGAACCCTTTAGGGTTCTTTTTTGTAACCAGGAAAAAGGTTCTAAATGGAAAATTCTGGGTTCATTCATTATCATTTGTTTTATCCTTTCCGGATTAAACAATTTCATATTATTGACAAACATCAAGACCCTAAAATGTATTTATGAATGCATGTGAATGATCACAAAATTCAAGATATGGGGGTTAGAAAATGTATATATTTTTTTATTTTATTTTTTTTATTATATTTTCCTCTCCAAAAATCAGCATGATTAAAATGTGATATTAAGTTAATACAACAGTTTAATAAACAATAATAATATATATGAATGAATAATAGCCTATAAAGAACCTTTGTGCCAAAAGATTTTTTTCTTGTCATTATAGAACCTGTTTTAGCATAAAAGGTTCTTTAGAACCTTTGCTTCATATATAGAACCCCAATGAACTCTTGTTTTTTCTAAGAGTGTAAAGGTCATCCCAGAATTTCTTTGAGAATTTGCATAAATAAAATAAATGTTCCGATCAAGCGTATTAAGTTTCTCTGCCTCTAAAACATCTTTGCTGCTGACTGGGTGGAACAATTAATGTTATCGGTAGTAAAATAGCATTTGTGTGCTATTTCATGTCTTGTACAGGTAGAGAAAACCACTCGCTCCAAACCGAAAAAGGGCACCTCCACATCTGCCACACCTGGCAAACCACTGAAGAAGACCAAGGAGAAGCAGGCGACATCGGTGCGCGGCTCGAAGAAGAAGAGCTCCGAGAACCAGCCGGGGAGCAGAGCGGCGCAGGGCGACAAGGAGAAAAGTAAAGAGATCAACAACAAACTGGCTGAGGCGAAAGAGTAAAAACCATTGCACTTCTTCTCTCATTTAATCTCTTCCTGAAAGGGTGAAAGCAGAACGAAGGCTGCAAAATTATTTAACAAGAGGTTCTCATTCCTTTACTATTCTGTCCATTGCTTCCTCTCTCTCTCTCTCTTTCTTTTTATCTATCTCTTTATGTACCTCTCGTTTTATTCCTCACTGAATATTTCCAATACACCCCCCCCCCCCCCCCCTCTCTCTCTCTCTCTTCGTGAGGTCAGTGGGCTGTTTTTAGAACATTTTCAGGGTTGGATTTTGATGTTTTGCCTCACAATCTCGCCAGTAATATCAAAGCGTTTGCATTTACTATAGCTCCACCCACTCTCCTCATCTTCACAACACGGTTTCCATGGCAACCACTCTACTGGTTGGCTAGTGGATGCTCTTATCTTGCATGGAGCCATTGGCTAGAAGCTCTGTATGTTTGACTTCCCATCAGATGCTCCGACTGGTGGGTTTCATTTATCAAGGGTTTTACAATCAAGCTGATTTGTGTATGATAAGCCATTTTTAAATCGGGCAACATGTAAAAGCCACAAAGGCCAATTTCTTTGTCCAAAATCTTTGATAAATGTGCATCTTTTACAGTTATATTGATCTATTACCTGCTTGCTTTGCCTGTTTTATGTAATCATTTTATTGATTGAACACCCCAGGCTCCCAAGTGATATGTTATGATCTCAGATCACTTTGGTGCTGTGATTTTATTTGTTTTCTTGCTAATTTTTTCCATCATGAAAATGTTGTTGGTTGAATCATTACAGGATTAGAATATCTCCAAATAGCTTTACGGGAACATTGGTATCTTCAAAAAGCCATCATATAAAAATTAGGCCCACTTGGTTTCCTGGACAGCCAACTGGATTACTGTAACATGATATTGCATTATGGGATGTCAATTTTGGATAGAATAGGATGCTCACTGTGATTTTTATGTGCAAAACAAACCTGTAGAAAATCTAAGATAAACTAAAACATGTTTTTGTATTGTTTGGTTTTGAGGTGTTAGTGGGCTTTTATTCCGTGAAATATGTACAGTAAGGACCACAACACAACCCTTAACACTATCCTCCACTCTGCTCAGCTGTTTCACATGCACAAACACTTCCCATCCTCCCTAAGGGAGCCCCTGAGGTAGACAGATGGGGGATCCCAAAAGTAGAGGGAACTCAAAAGGTCAATAGATCAGCCAGCTTTAAAATCAAAGCCCCTTTTTATGTGAATGCAGATTCAGCGTATTAATTATTAATGGCTTTCCCCAGAGTGTTTCCTGCTTTGTTTGCTCCTGCATCTCCCCTGTTGTTCAATGACTGACATGACTTGTATTCTCGACTAATTGTTCTGTTTATTATCACGTGTCCCCTGATGTATTGGTAAGTCGAATGCAGTCTGTTTGGAATGCTGTTTGTTTACTCTCAACTGCATTATCATTGTCATATTTCTTTGTTTGTTTGTTTATTTTCAAACGTAAGGCCTTTCCCATGATGCACATGTACAAGAGGACATTTTATGCAGAATTCTGTCATCATTTACTCACCTGAACAAAAACATTTACATCACAGAAGAAAGAACGGTATATGAGATTGAAACATGGAGTAAAGGATGACAGAATTTTCATTTTTGAGCGAACTATCCCTTTAAATTTCAATGCTGATCCATTCACAGAGATGATTTTGTGTTGCCAGTGAAACCTTTTGATATATAATCTGATCAGGCCTGATGTAACAGCACATAATCATGGCTTTCATTTTCCTTGCATGTGACATGACTGACGCAGATCCATGTCTGTTTGTGATGGAAGAACTAAGGATGTTGGTAGATCATGGGACTGAATGACATTCATTTAGGTAACCTAATGCCTTCATTTCCTGGCATTATGGAAGTGTGAGATCACGCTTTGTGTTTTTTTGTTTTGTTTTTTTTTACCATGGACCTCCCCTCTGCAAATCCTCTCTCTGTCTCTGGTTTCATCCTTTGAGGTCTTCTCCATTGTCAGTATGTCAAATATGTGATCTCATTGTCCTGTTTGCCCTACCAGTGCACAGTAAGTCTGTGATCTATTGCCAGATTGAAGAATTGTACTTGAAGCCTGTATAAATAAAGCGTTTAGAAGAAGGTATAAATAAATACATTTATGAAATACATTGACATGCATTTACTCAAGGGTTAGTTCATCCAAAAATTAAAATTACGCTATTAATGACTCTCAAGCCCGTAAGACCTCCGTTCATCTTCGGAACACAGATTACGATATTTTAGATTTAATTCGAGAGCTTTCTGTCCCTCCATTGAAAATGTGTGTACGATAAACTGTCCTTGTCCAAAAAGGAAATAAAGACATCATCAGAGTAGTCCATGTGACATCAGTGGGTTAGTTACAATGTTTTGAAGCATCGAAAATACATTTTGGTCCAAAAATAACAAAAACTACAACTTTATTTAGCATTGTATTGTCTTCCAGTTCTGTTGTCAATCCGCGTTCAGTGACGAAATGTATTTTCGATGCTTCAAAACATTGTAGCTAACCCACTGATGTCACATGGACTACTTTGATTATGTCTTTATTTCCTTTCTGGACAAGGACAGTATACCGTACATACATTTTCAATGGAGGGACAGAAAACTCTCGGACTAAATCTACTTTGTTCCGAAGGTGAACGGAGGTCTTACGGGCTTGGAAAAACATGAGGGTGAGTCATTAATGACATAATTTTCATTTTCAGGTGATCTAACACTTTACGTTTAGGGGTAATTGCATTTATTCCACCATAAATTGTACGTGTTTCCATTTGTGGAATGTGAATAATGCAAAACTCCTTTTAAAAACGCCGTTAGACTTGCAAATACAGTCATCTTAGATTGGTCAATGACCACAAAAGATGAGGCTGAACTCAGAATAGTATGCTAATACTATTTTTCTAAGTAATTATCTTGACGGGAATAATAAGAGTAGTGTGCCATTCCAAAGTGGTTGGTTTCTTCTTAAAGTCACCATGAAACCAAAATGGACAAATCAAAAAAAGAATTATGGAATATTGCAATATTTTTTATGGAATATGTGATCTTATAATCTTTAATCAAAACTTCCCCTCCCTTCTGCAGCGTCATCTCTTCTCTTCTCTTCTCTGATGACGTGTTTACTGGCACGAAGGCAGGACAACCTGTCACTCGCATGTGATCACGGCAATAGCAAACAACTATCCAATCAATTCCTGATGGACAAAATCAAGTCCTGCCCTACATTTGTTCTTGTTCGAGATGCCGTTTTACTTGGATTTATACATCACAATAGGGAAGAAAAGACTATAGAAAATTTTGTTTCATGCGTGAGTTTGACAAGTGACGCAGTGCTTCTGTAACGTTTATCCCGTAGATAATGATCTGTGTCTAACAGTTGCCACATGCCATGTAAAATGCCATTTAAAAGCAGTTGAAATTTTGAAACATTACATATTGTAAGGCATTATCATATATATATTATATACAGGCTTCAAATCTACAGTCCCTTGTGGAAATTAATACAAAGTTTGAGAATTTGTAACGAATGTAAGTATTAATTTCTTCAGTCTGGCTCTAGAACAACATGGAGGCCATTCTCTGCTCTGAATGATACGCCACAGGGTGAGGGCCTTTTCTTGTATTTTGCAGCCTTTGGTGACTCAATTACTGCGCTAATATAATTTGGGAATTAAGGGAAGGTGTCCTGGGGAGACAGAGGAGGACAGGCTAGCGGGAATGTACATGTCCAGTGTGCTTGCGTGCCTGTGTGTGTGTGTGCTTAGCACAGGTGCTATATATAGTCCATGCATACTGAAAAAGGAGAGAGAAAAAAAAAATGTTATATGAAAGGGCCTCAGATTTAACTTTGATGATGTGCATTGTGATTTCTCTCTTGCTTGCTCATATTTATTGAAATTAATAAATGCAAACGCAGAAACCGAGAGGTGTCGTGGTTCATTTTGTGGTGGGAGGGTTTGGGGATCTGTGTCCTCTGTCTGTCTCTCTGTCGCTGTCATAGATGTCGAATCCACATGGAAGAGAACTATTCCGATGTTTATGGTTTACGTTTGGTTTTGCGACTCTCATATTTTGTGTGTGACAAGCTCTGGAATAGGTTCTGGCATCTTTATGGTTGTGCATATTGCTGCCAGCTGAGAGTTGAGAAATATATGTTTGCATCTTGAGTGAATCTGATATATTGCAGCTTTCAGGGTCTCATATGTGCAAAGTAATAAAAGATGCAGCCTCCTATTCCAAGTATCATAGACGTACAAATGAGAAACTATTGATATCCCATCCTGAATAGAAAGATCGATGTGTCATTCTATAATGATTGGCTTTAATGATGTGAATTATTGATTGATTGAAATTTGGTTGATTCTATATAATGATTTTGTGCTTTGGGAGTTAAAGGAATAGATCACCCTAAAACAAAAATTATGTTATCATTTACTCATCCTTGTGTTGTTCCAAGCCTGTATGACTTTCTTTCTTCCATTCAATACAAAAGTTGGTAACATTTTACTTGAAGGGGTGTGCATAAGACTAACACGACGCCTTCATAATCATGACATGACATTATGCATGTTTGTGACAACTGTCAATAAGTGTCATTCGCTCAGTTATGACATTAATGCAAATATGACATTGTTTGAGATGTCTTTGTTATGACACCTTGACATAAACCAATACATCATAACCTGTCATAAACACGATATTGCAGATTAATTATCAAACTTAAGAAACCACCTAGCTTTATTGGTTAACATTACATTAAACTGCTGGTTGGTTTTGACATTGGCTGTCATGAAGCCAATTTTAATGGCAAATTCAATGTGTACCGCTGTAGTCGAGGTCACGAAAAATATTCATGACAGTTATAATGGCCTCATGCCAGCCAATGTCAAAACCAACCACATGACAGTTTAACTTAATTTAATGTCAAGGTGTCATGACAAATACACTGACAGGTTATGATGTATTGGTTTATGTCAAAATGTCAAAACAAAGACATACTTGCATTCAAAATGTCATTATTGAGCGAATAATGACAGTTAATGACAGTATTTCCTTTTGTGTTGCATGGGAAAAAGAAAGTTATACAGGTTTGGAACGACATGAGGGGCGAGTAAGACCCGTTCACACAAAGACCGGTAAGATAACTATAACAATAACTATTATTGACAATATATCGCTCTGTTCATTCTAAGCGCGCACTTTGACGTATTTTGCTTTAAATGCTCGAGCGCGAAACCAGGATGCATTCTGATTGGCTGTCTGTTTTATCGTACATCAACCTTCACAAAGTGACTTCGACGAGATTGTTTCTCTGTGCCGTTATTGTTATAGTTATTCTTACATATTTAGAAGGATTTTTAGAACTTTATCGCAGAATTGTAATGACAGAATTTTCATTTTGGGGTGAACCATCCCTTGAATTACTTTAATGTTCAGCTAACGAGTGATCTTGTCGTTCGTTTGAAGGGTTATGCTAAAACAGTACCACTACATTCAGCTCTTTCAGCCCATCCGAGATATTGGTTGGGTGCAGACACTAAAGCAACACCTGTGGCGCTGTGCACTGCCCGACCCAAGGTAATACTCGCCTGAGAATAAAAGCTTCTTCCGTCTCCATTCGTACTTCAGCAGCACTATTATTACTCACTGTGGGAAACTGTAGTGTTGCGCTCGTGTTTCCACTGAGAATCGAGTACACCATAACTGCTCAATGTTCTTCATCTTTTGATTTGCTCCCATCAGTATTCTCTTCCATATGGAAAGTGTTGTTGGGCCAAAGGTTGACAGCTTGACTGCTCACTGTATGCTGTTGTCCTGTTGTTTGTTGTTTTTGGAGGATGTTGAAAACTTTTTTATACATGTGTGTTTCGTTTCACTGTTCACTAACATCACATTCAAGCATGTTATTGTGTTATTGTAGAAAAAAGGCCTATGAAAAGGCATTTTCTTAATGTATTCATCTAATTCATTGCTACCTATAGAAGAGTTTTGAGTCAAACTTCTGTTTGTGGTACTTGTAAGTTGATGTACCATCTCTTCTCCTTAAAGGGCTAGTTCACACACAAATGAAAATTCTGTCAGTATTTACTCTCCCTCATGTTTTTGCAAAGCTGTAAGACCTTCATTCATCTTCGAACACAAATTATGTCGTTTTGGATTAAATCTGAGAGCTGTCTCACTCCTCCATAGGCTTCTATTGTAATGGAAACTTGCCGGCCCAGAAAGTTATTAAAGACATCATTAAAATAGTCAGAGTGAATAGTGGCTCAATCTTAACTTTATCAAGCGAAGAGAATACTTTTTGTGAGCAAGTTGTTTAGTTGAATAAAGTTGTTATATGTATGTGTATAGATCCAACTCTCAGATTTCATCAAAAATATCTTAATTTGTGTTCTGAAGATGAACGAATGTCTTATGGGGTTGAAACAACATGAGGGTGAGTAATTACTGACAGAATTTTAATTTTTGGGTGAACCAACCCGTTAACGCAGGAACAATCCATTTACAGTGAACTTTAAATGTCACTCATAGATTAATTTCTTTTCTCTTTTTTTATTCAAATGACTAATGAAATTGAACTTGATATTTAAACTGCTTTAGTTTTAGAAACACAGCACATTGTATTTTTGTTAAGTGGTGTCTGTCTTGTTGTTTTTATGCTGGTTTTTATTTCTGCACTTTTTCCTTTGAACAACCTGAGATTACAGTCATAATTCATATATTTAATTATGTATATATATAGTGGGGTCCAAACATCTGAGACCACTAGCGAAAATGGTTTTGTTTAAAAGAAAAAAAAGTGGGACAAATTTGCTTTTAATTAGTGACCTAGAAATACAGTACAATATTTAACTAAAAAAATATTATAAAAACATTTGTTTACTATTTAATAATAGCATGATTTTCAAAGTCTTGGACTGCTGTTCTTTACACTATTTTATAATGCCCATTAACCTACTGTCTGTAACAGAACTTCAGCGCTATCCGAAACTTCCTAAAGCTCAGCGATTTTACACACAGTATTTTAAATGTTAAAGTTCTGCCATACTTTGAATCTAGTCCCAGCTAAATGAGTTAAAGTCTGTTGCGTGTTATGCCAAACAAGATCATTTAGCCGTGACTATAAAGAACGGAAGGCACTCAAGGCTGTAAATATTTTCTTTAGCATTTGTTATTGGATATTAGATTTCATTTGAACATATCTATGATCTATTCTAACTATTTTCACTTATATTGGTCTCACTACAAACAGAATCTCTATGAATAGAAATGAGTAAAAAGTGGTCTCAGGATGCTCAAAGACTTGTTTCTTCAAGTGCACAATGCTATCTACCAGATAAAACACCTCATGTTGTGTCTCTGTGTCTCTCTTTCTTTCTCTCCCTCTGTCGCCCTTCCGCTCCTCCTTTGGCAATAACACTGTGCTGCTTCCTAGAGAATCTGAGTCTGGCCTCGGACGAGTCAGCGATTATTATTCCGAGGGTACCTCTGGAGGAGAACCACTGGTGGAACGATCAGAACCACGGAGTCGGGGAGTAGTCCGGTTCGCTCCGGATGTCAAGTACTGATACAAAGCACACGAGTGAGAGGAAGGCAGGCAGCTATATAGACAGAACAATAAAGTAGTGAGAAATATTTTAGGAAGTATTTTTGCAGGTAGACAGACATGTGGAATTAAAGTACTGTATGTATATATTGTATGTTAATAGATTAAGACTAAATTATGAGCTTCCCAATGAGAAACACATGAACACGTAGTACCTGAGCTCCCAGACTGTTTGCAACAACTGAAATGGTGCTATAAATGTATTTTTGTTTCATGCTCTTTCTCAAAACATATACAATGTTGCCATTATGATCATTTAGAGTAGCAATTATCATCTGTCATTAAGTGCTTCCTTATAGTATAATAACACACTGTTTGAGAGTATAATAAATGTGATGAGTTTATCTGATCTATTTCTTGCCTTCTTCTACTTTATATTCATTGCAATGGGCTCTATGCACGGTGGTATTTCCGGTGAAGGTTTAAGGATGCTCGATAACTTCCAGTCCAATGCAATAGCGAGAATTTATATTGAATTTTATACTCCATGTTTATACTAAAGAAACGTTAGTCACAAAAACAGACAAAACAAACACCCCTCGTTGTTGTGTTTATGCTTCTTTTTAAAATTATATTAAATAAACATAACTATATATAAAATTACATCTAAACGTATGAAAGTTTCGTTTCAAAGACGGGAGGACATTACATTTTGAAGACTCTGCCATAATCCCGTTTTCCTCGGTTTTCCTCCGCTTTAATCTCCCCAACCGGAAACAGGCGAGCATCCTTAGGTCAAATGCGGAACTTATGCGTGCATATAGCCCATATCCATGAAAAAATCTGTACCCAACCCTTTTCTTCAGAAGGGTATAATATCAAGCATCATATTAAAATAAAAGTGTTAAATTATTACGGCCAAGGAATATTTTTGGAAAATGATTTAAACATTTAAAATACTTGTGCCCCAGTCTGACCTAAAATCTTATAGGTAATGACTAGCAGTTCTCCCCTACATGGTAACTTTATTTAAATTTTATAGATTTGATTTAAATATGAGGGGGGAGAGACGCCCAACATTCAACCCGAAAATAGTCATATAACTATTGCAATAACGCCGAATCTATTCAGTTAAGGTAAAGTGCTGCTTTAACTGGAAGCCACCATCAGCTAACCAGAACCAAACCAACTAATCTAAGGCCCTGTTTACATGAGAACGCTCGCGGGTGAAAACGTAAAAATATTTGATTGAATGTGCCTTTCGTAACGGTGTTTTTGAGGCTTAAAAACGCAAAAAAGTGAAACCACCCTCCAGAGTGGAAATCTTAGGCCACGTTTACACAAAGCCGGGCATTTACCGAAACGAATATTTTTCCCCTCTCCATTTTCAAAAATAACATCGTTCACACACCCGCATAAATACGCCGTCGAGCGCCATCATAATTATGCCAAACCTATTGGTGGCAGTGTCGGGAGAAGGATAAAGCCATTCAAGCCAATCAGAATCCTCAGAATCGACAAGAGAGAACCTAAAACGCTGTTTCTCCCAGTTCACACCGGTTCACACGACAACACATAACCGGCGTTTTCAGAAATCTCCTCTTTGGCCGGAGTTTTTAGAAATAATTGTTTTCTGTGATAAAACGTGTAAACAGGGCCTTAAAAACGCTCCACCACCGCGTTCCCATGTAAACGGTAAAAACGCAAAATTCTGCTTGACAGTGAAGGTTGTACGCAGGCGCGTGGACTTGGTGTTGTTGTAGTATGCACTCCTAGCCACCAGGAGTGCATACTACATTGAATTTCACACACTTTTGCGTCAACATTTGCACGCGGATTTCCCACCCAAAACGCTCGTCAAAACGCAGAATAAAAAGTGATAACGCAACGTCACTTTTGCGTTTTATCTTCAGAATCGTTTCTGTGTAAACATAGCCTAAGGCCCCGTCCACACGACTGCGTTTTCGTTTAAAAACGGAGACCTTTTGCTACGTTTGCACCTCCCGTCCAGACTAAAACGGGAAAAAGGAAGAACTAAAACGGCGTTTTGAATATCCGGAAGGCTTTTTTGTGTAGACGGGACAAAATGGAGGACTTCAGAAACGCTGACCATGACGCTGACGCTCGGCTCTATGATTGGGTGTCATCAGTCATGACGTGTCCTTCCCTGATTCGTCAACCACTGTTTAAACGCGCATGCCCAGTGTTGGTGAATGGTCACCTGATTCCCGTTTTCAGTCGTTTTAATGTGGATGGAGATCATTTCTAATACGCAGATAAAACGCTGGTGTGGACAGAGATCGTATTCGTTTTAATTCTGCGTTTTTAAACGAAAACGCAGTAGTGTGGACGGGACCTTAAGCTGACCATTTCCACAGGGATGTGTTTAAAAACCACAACCCTTGCGTGCGTTATTAAGAAGACTCTTGAAATTCTAGAAGAGATGAAGACTTAATCTCATCTTCAGAGACCCAAGGATGCAGAATAGATGGAATTGAACATGGACTTTTACTTAAATTACAAAACTAATGCGTCAGCTGCATCCTTATAATTGCATTTACTGGTATAAAAGACATTATCTTTGTGTCCTTCCTTTCTACAGCCCATTGCTCTTTCTAATAAATGCTGATGAGTATATCAAGACCTGGCCATATTACATTACATATCCTCTTTTGTAGATGATAAATAGAAAAATAACAAAGAAAATAAAGAATAAACAAACAAAAATATATAGTTTTAAAATATTTTCCATGAAATCACATTTTATATAGATTTGTTATATGGTTTTATTTGATTTAGTATTACTGTATTTAATCATATTTTAATTGGCCCAAACAAGCTAATTTTTTTCCAGAAGATCTTTTAATATGCTCTTGTGACAGGAGATCAATTGCTGGAGGGCTTTTAGTGCTAATTAACAGAAGCGGATGGAACCAGTAATTAAAATAACAATATATTTGTACATTTCAAATCTGTTGATGTACATCTTTTTTCCTGACACAATTTACAAATCCAGACTTTGAAGAACTGAAATGTTTGTAACTTAAATATTTTTGTGTGCAAAATATGACATTTCATGCAACAGGTACACTGTTAGAAATTTCTGTAAATTTCACAGTATTTAACTGTAAAATGGACTGTATACTGTAGGACAGTTATAAAGCATGTTAATGTATTTTTAAACATTTACAGTAAATGAAAAATACTGTATTTTAGTGGCGCCGAAATAGAGTAAAAAATGTTTTCAAAAAAAGACCGCGAAACCTGACCAATCACAGAAAAGCCTTTACTTCCGCTTGGAGAAAAACACAGATGCGATACGAGAACCAGTCAGATACAAAGGTGTGTACAAATATTCATATTTTTGTTTAAACTAAAAAAAGAAAAATATACGCTGCCGAGAATAAACCGATTCGTGGCACTCATGCATTATATCCATGAAAACACACAAATACACACAATTCTACAGCCACGTTGCCACGGAGATGCCTTACTTTACTTTTAGTATCTAGATAGCAGGTCTCGCTCGCACTCGTCAATATAATGGCAGTGAATAACGAGCACGGCCTGCATCAAGTTTCACAAAATGGTCTATGTATTATATATTACAGGAGTTGTTTGATTATAGCCTACGATAGGGTTTGGGAAAACATGCACTATTATGCACTCCTTAAACCTTTTTTTTTATAAAGAAATGAAGAGTCTGAAACACTAATTTGATAGAACATTTATTAGACAGGTAAAGTATACATTTATTTAAAATATGACTAATTAAACAAAATTTTAATTTGCCACTAAATTTAGTTACAGCACATACAGACAGCGTCCTCTAGTGGCAAATTTAAGATAAAGCCTCTCTGACAAAGCTTTGCATTTAGTAGTTTGTTTTAAGTTTTAAAGTGCTGAAAAACCCGAATGACTTTCATAGTAGCCTAGATTATTTGTATGTTTTTAGTACAAAAATATAGCTAAATTAAACCCTTACTTTTAATGTTCTATCCAAAATGATTAGTAATATCCAATTTTACACTGGGAAAAAAATATTGATGGTTTAACTTAAGAAAGACAGTAACCTGATTGCCAAGTTAATTTTGAGTTTGTTGAAATTAAAAATGTGAGTTAACACTACGAAGGAGGTTGGTTTAATCAACAGAAATTCCAAATATGTTATCTGAACTACATCAATTATCTAAGTTGATTTGACAAACGAAAAAAATATGTGACAACAAATCATGAAAATATATTTTTTACAGTGCAGTAATATTAGTAGTAGTAATGTGTATTTAGTAATAGGCCTATTAGTAATAATAATATCCAATAATAATATTTTACCTCAGTTTACGGTTACAGAGCAGTTACGTGCTAAAAACATTATAGCTGAAGTTCTCCTGCTGCGGTTTGAAATTAAAGTTGTAGACCCCGATTTTCCTTTTGTGATACACCAATCCTGTGATGGCAGCCAGGGAAAATAAAAACACACCAACGCCAAGTACAACAAATCCAACAGTCTGCAGAGTATCTAATGTATCTGTTTGGGGGAATCCTTTAAGAAAAAAAAAAAGATTTAGTAGTGATTTTGTCAACTGAAATGATGTCCTTTATATACAATGAATAAAGATATAAGATATGATATATGAGCATTCATATTCATTAGTACTCAAGTATTTACCTTTATGTAATCTGTTAATGGGTCCAATGGAAGCCTTTGTCAATCCAATTAAGTTGGAAGCCCTGTAAGCCCTCCCTATACAGTCCTAATAAATTGCAAAAAGATTATATATTAAACTTTCTTACATTGCTGTTCTTTTAATGCATGCAAAAAAGTTAAAAATAAATAAATAAATAAACAATAAAATGCGGGGGGAAAAAATAATTTGTCAAATAAATTGTAATACAACCACAGCAATTATTTGTTTATCTATTTAGCAAACTATAGTGGTCCCAATATGTATTTGGACACTTAAAATACATAAAATGTATAGTATGAAATGAAATAATAATTGTAGGTCCCACTTAATTCTTGGTTTGTGAGGTCTAAGTGTCCAAATGCTTTGTAAGGCCACTGTATATGAATGAATTACATGAAATGTAAGCTCTCAACCCACAGGTCTGCATGTGTTTTCCTGAATTTCAACACAGATCTGGATCTGGCAGTGCAGGTAGATGACGTCCACATTCACCAATGAGAAGATCTGCACTGACAACAAAGACACAGTGCTGTTTCCGTTCTGAAGAACAGTCGTGTATGAGTCAGCCATTGCACATCTGAGGAGCAGAGAGATGAGTGAACACTGGCATTACACAGCGTCTTTCTAATAACAGAACACACCTACGATTATTTATATCAACCTACTTTTGAATGAACAAGTTAATACATCATCAATCCTTCTTCCAAAACATGGTTTTCCTCTTTTCACTTTGGAAAACCGATCATAAGTGTTTATACTTTAAGTTACGTTTACAATGATGTACTAAAATCACTTATTCCATTGCATTTTTCGTGTACAATTTGTGTTTTTGTAGTTGACATGGAGACAATAACAATATCGTTTTCAAAAGCTTGCACTTTGAAACTCAAAACGCAGCTGTCGTGTAAATGAGTGGCCAAAACACATACAAAGTTTTAGTGTACGATTGTAGTGTCGTTCGTTAAACGGCCCCTTAGACCTAGCGGGGTGGTTTTCGTGGGAAATTGCATAGCAAAACATAGACGGCGGACATGTCCGTGAAAAAGAGGATGGTAACCCTTACTACTCGGCTTTCTCCACAGAACAAGAGCCTGCTAGCTTAGCTTCCAAAAAAAGATGGCCGACACTATGTGTTCATTCTGTGAGTGAGATCGCCCTCTATGGGCGGGTTGAGAACATGCGGGACCTGACCTGTAGTCTTTAGCCTCTGGCCAAAAAATCCTCCGATGACACAAAATGACGATTTTTGTGTCATCTGAGGATTTTTTCCAGACCAAAAATACATAAATCTCTCGTCTCAGGGGGATATGAGTGTGGAAAGCACGGTAATTGGAAAATACTACAGGTTTTCTACTAATACAAAGCTTAATGCTAAATCCTGAAGTATCCCTCTAAGCCTAGTAAATGTTTTATGAGCAGTAGGATAACCAGTTCTCCCGCAAAATTCGTGCAGTTTTGTCTTTTATTGCTAGAGGGCCAAAAGTTACATTGTGTAGTACCTTTAAAAGCTACAAGTTCTTGTTAAATGAAAATAGCCATTGCAAAATTTACACTCCCACATTGAAAGACATTATTCAGCTGCACCCACCCATCCAGCAGAAACACGTGGCTGGGTGACTCTGATGAGTTGTTGCTTGAAGTGGCCCAGCACTTGCTGATGACAACTTTGATTTGCGAGACAGTAGTGTTGATCGCAACCTCAACGATGACCTTATCATTAGGGTACAAGGCGGAATTCTCAGGTAATGGAGACGTCCCATTCAGCAGACGCACTGTAACCTGGAAGCTTCCCAATCCTGCCACTGGTTCATTGATCATATTTAAATACCTTTAAAAGACAAGGTTTGTTAGTAGCGACAAAATGGGTTTCACTCAGAAATCAAAATTCTTAAAGAAAATTAAACCTGCTTTGCTTTTGCCACCAAATGTTTTTTTTTGTGTGTGCATTTTTATGAATTATGTTCAGTTCTTAAAAAAGTCTTCATTTTCTTTTTGAGAATATGCCTTCCTTTTTTTCTAGGAGTTTTCACCCCTACGTTAAGTATCTGGTCTCAGTTTGTTGTTTAATATACGCTGACATAATTAACACCTTAAATTGAGTCTAGATGTACTTGACGTGACAAGAGATGGGATACTGAGCCTGAAAAGCGAGAAAAACAAGCTCTATAGAGACAGTTGCTATGGAAGCACTGTACCCTGGGGGGTCGTATCCCGTGGAGATGGTGATGCGACTGGGGTAAGTGCAGATGATGGGAACTTCTAGATGCACATTAGAAGCCATAGACACGTTGTTGTATAGAGTCACATTGAATGAATTATGGGTGATGTTCTGAAAGACAAAAACATTGGTTATGTTATCTTACTATATTCTACATAACCAGTTTTTATGGTTAACAAAAACTAAAACCATTACACAACTTGTTAATACTTTATTTTGATTGTGCACTTCAAACATTGTGTTGACTATAACAAGTAACACTGCATGTCACCGAGCCGCACGATTCTGGATAAATTGGGAATCACGATTTTTTTTTTTTTTTTGCTTCAAACACGATTCTGACCAGACAACTAAACATAATTACATGTAATTTTCTAGAAGTTCTGACAACATGTTAATTGCTGCAGTTAATCTGAATGATTTTTTTATTTATCGGATTGAATGAATGATTCAATGAGACGCAGCAGCAGGATGGTCTTCTCCCTTGAATTCTCCGATTGCGCGCAAGCTTCTACTTCTGTCTATACGGTAATTTCTCAACTGTTCGACAGAGCGTCGTGTGTGGTTATGATGCAATCGTTAGCCTATTTTTACAAAAAAGGCTTGTACGAGGCCTTTTATACATTGTCATGTTTCTTTAGAAATAAATAATGGGGAAATGGAGTCTTTGGACACATCAGATGTAAAGTTATTCGCTGTCAAAGTGACGCCAAAATGAATGGGAGTCAATGGAATGCTAACAGCAGGTGATGGTCTGCTACAATGGCGGCATACAGTGGCCATAAACACTTACTTGACCGTCTCATTCTAACGTGTAATTGCTGAGGAGGAGTCTAGCCAACAAGAAGGATTGGACTAGGAAGGACACAGTCTCTCTGGGGACTCCCATAGTCCAGACCATAGATATTTACCCAATAAAGGCTAGATGTCTTGCGGCGGAGTTTCTATCGTCATCACCGGCGGCCATCTTGTCACAGGCAAGCCCATGTAAGATCAGCACGAACACAAATACTCTTATCTCGTTGAAATCTTGACGGATTTACAAACGGTTTGGTTTCTTACAAACGTCATTATCGTAGCTATAATTCTGGATGATTATTTATTTATACACTTATGCAGTTTCATACCTACGTCTCTGACGTTTATAACAAACCAAACCATTTGAAAATTGGTAGAAAATTTAGCAAGTTATGGTTATTTAAAAAGTACATGCACCATTAAAACACAATGTTACGAGTGAGCGAGCTGCCTGTGACAAGATGGCTGCCATGTGCAGATGTCGACCTCTATTGGCCATCTAACCTTTATTGTGGATATCTATGGTCCAGACGTTCTGCTGTCAGTCTAAAGGTCTGGCTAAACGAGACAACTTGTCGCCACCTACTGGCGTAAAAATGTAATCTATACAGACGTAATTTAAATGGCTATGTTAAAGGTGATTTACTCTATTTTTATCGTAGACATCGTAGACATAGACGTTTGGCCCAGTTTCTTCGGTGATAATATGAATATTTGTCTGTTTCATATTAATAGCTATATCATGCCATCTGCTCTTTCTGACTTGGCAGCGGGAACACAGATTTGAATTTTGTCAAAGGTATAATAGACACGGGAGAATCGTTTTCGTTTAGGGATTGAGATCGCGTTGCTGTTTGAATCGACATTGCGATCTTTTAACGATTAATCGTGGAGCTCCACAACTAACTAATAGACTGTTATGGATTGGATAGGGCTGTCAAACGATTAATCACGATTAATCGCATCCAAAATAAAACTTTGTGTTTACATAATATATGTGGGTGCACTGTGTATAATTATTTTATATATATATATATATATATATATATAAATACACACACATGCATAAATATTTAGGATTTTTTTACTTATATATAAAATTTTTATATTTTTATATAATATAAATTATATATAAATCTATATACAGTATATTCATGAAAATATTTCTTAAAAATATAGAAGCATGTGTGTATATTTATATATATAAAATAATTTTTCACAGTGCACCCATATTTATTTTATGTAAACACAAACGTTTATTTTGGATGCGATTAATCGTTTGACAGCCCTAGATATGGATAGGGTTAGTAGCAGAATAAGTTGACATGCACTTGCCAAAGTTAGTTATAGTAAGAATGTCTGTTGGGGGATAATCGAAATAAAGTGTTGGCAGATATTAATCAGACGGTGTACTAAAATTAATACTCTACTAAGATGATCCCCTCACAGACATTCTTAACTTTGTCAACGTATTGCATAATAAAACTAGCTGAACTTTATATTTTAACAAACTAAAACTGAAATAAAAACAAATACAAATAAAAAACATTAAAATAAATATAGGAAAATAAAAAAACAATCCAAGGTATTAATAAATTCTACAATATTATCTTACTAATGACACTAGTAAAGTTGCTCTAATATAAACTAAAAGTATAGAGTTAAATGATACTGGAGGACTTACATGATTTAGTGTAATACCACACGAATCCCAATTTGCAGTGACCCCCACATGGGATTCATTTCTTCTATTGAGAGCACATTCTGGTTTTCCAAGGTACAGGGCAGTCTCTAGGATGCTGTAGGCCACTAAGATGTGTCGCCTTATGAAGACTGATATATACCCTAGGCCGCACTCAACAGCTACATATGGGATCAAAGGGGCTGCTGCTAAATGTGATGTCATGGGAGTAAGTGTTGTTGTAATAGTGTTTTCCGGCATTGTTGTGAGGCTGTTAGTCGTGGAAGTTGAAGACACTGTTGTTTTGGTGATGTTCTGAACATGAGTTGTGCTCACTGTACTGCTCACAGATGGGTTTCCAAACGTAGTTTTTGTAATAGATGTTGTAGTGTCCGTGGTAGTGGAATCTGAAGATACTCCAGGATAGTTTGTGGTGGGATTAATGGTTGTGGCGTTAGGTGAAGCTATGCCATGAACAGGGAGAAACACAGATGAGAATATAATATAATATAATATAATATACAGACACTATATCTGAATAAAATTGCTAATAGGAAAAAATGTAGGGAGGACCCAAAATCCTATTGGGTTTTTTGTCAAGGGATCAACCTGGATGATGCTATTTTCTGAGTTGTCCTACAAAATTACTTCATCACTGCATACCACATCCATACTGTCCTTCACGAGTATCTGTGCATGATTGACTTCTGTTTGTCTCAATTAAAGGTGTGTGACATTCTAATGAAATCTCTCAACAGTAGCATTACACAGCATGTACCTGCACAGCTGCGTCCTGGTCTACTGGGACTCAAATCTGTGTATCCAGACCAACAGGCACAGGTGTATGAGCCATTCGTGTTTTCACAGGAAGCCCACGGAGAGCAGTCCGCCTCAGCTGCCAAACACTCATTTAAATCTATAAATAACAAGAGACCAATCACATCTTAAGTCAACATGTCACATTATTAAAGGTATGGAAACAGTTCCAACATCAAACTTCATTTACTGTTTAGTAATAACTTCTTAGTAATAATAACCCGTACCTTCTATGTATATAGTGTCTACTGTGTACGTAGTGCTATTCTGTAGAGACGCAATAAAATCACTGGACATGCTAGACATGGTCAGGTTGCTGCTGGGTTGAAAAAAGATGGAAAAGTTCACGATTACGCTGCCAGCTGAGAGGGATGTTATCTGGATGATGACCTGGCCAGAGTTGACTAGTGCACGGGTCTCTGGAGGCAAGTGCGAAAGAATCTGCAGAGAATCAACATATTTTTGAAAATGATCTTGGTTATTATGAATCATATAGCTTAAAACAAAAGATTTTTGCATTATCTGATGAAAATGTGAGTGCTTGCCCATACTATGGGTGGTTGCCAGGGTGATACTATACAGTTGCTATGGTGTTTGAATGGGTGTTGCTAAGACTGAGCCCACTACCCCCTCTCTGGCCATAATGGGTGGAGCTGGACGTAATCCAGCTCCACCTCTGTGGACCTAATGGGTGGAGATTAGATTAGATTCTCAGTCTGGCATTCCCATTATGGTCTGGCAAAGTGTCATAGACAAATCATTTCCAGAGGGGCGTCACCAACGGACGTCACGGGTAGACCTAAAACCAATCAGAGTGATGAAGGAGATGACGTATGCAGAGCGGCGGCCGGCGGTGTTGTTCTTTGCTCGGTTTTTAACATAAAGGAAACGTTCAAATCGCTTAAAATAGACGCGATAGCTGATTCGAACGAGTGATGTTCGACGGCGGCTGTCGTCATCGCGTAAAGCCCGCCCCAACGTTTCTGATTGGTGCCGCGATTTCGACGGATTGGAAATGGGCTTGAATGAGCTCTTTGCCAGACTAACTTTCAGAGCAAATCTAAATTTGCCGGAAGTTAGGTGGAGATATGTTTAGCTAGGGTGATGGTTGAGTTAAAGCAATGGAGTTGACTACAGTATACTCAACAATGTATATATAGCATATTTCTTCTGCACATCTGGCCATTGATTTTATGTGCTAGTCTGTGATTGGTTGAAATTAGAACATTTCAGACTCAGTGTGAAGGACCTTTAGTAAATATTTATTCAATGTAAATATGGAGGATTTTACTGTTTCCAAGTGAAAACTGTAAGTTAGTTGCATAATTTATGGTTTCATTTTATTTTACCATTCATTTCTAAATGTTCAGGACAGTGTTTAATAATAATATATCTCAAACCTTAAAGATGCGTAATTGCTCTAATAACATCAAGCTTTTAGTAAACAAAGGGGTTTTTTTACTGGATGATTGAAAAGTGTATTTTATGTCAATCTTAAAGTATCATGTTGATAAATGTATGTGTTTAGAGACAAATATGGAATTTATTAAACCTCATTCATGACACTTATACAGAATTCCTTATATGCGTCACTGTCTGGGTCACTCAAGGCATTTGTGTAGTTCATGTTTGACAAACGAAACCGCTCGTTTCGTGTCTTATGCCATCAACGTGTACTTACATTCACGAGTCATTAAATCATGTTTAATTAGGACTTCTCTGTGCATGCTCTTTGAGGTGGTGACCATAGACCTCCATTATATGACTGACAGACAAGAACGGTTTGACCTAAAAATATCAAAATTGAAACTACAAACAAAGACATCTACATCTTGGATGGCCTGGAGGTAAGCTAAAACATACCAAAAATTAATTTCAAAGTGAACTATCCCTTTAACAATGTGCCTATATGAATTGTGGATGCAGTGTATGGGATTTTGTATACCTAGTGGTACTGGGTCTGAGCACTGATAGATGTTGGAGATGTTGTCTGTCTGACAGCATTTTTGCCACTGAGAACAATCTATGTCCCACTTGCACATGGAGCCAGTAGAGATATAGACCCTTCTCATACATGTTGAGGGACACAGTCCTGGCTTAGATGTGAATTCTGCACTTCGGCTCAAGGCTGAGATAATGACGATAGCAATTAAAAAAAAATAAAACTTTGCGGTTAAAATGAGGCTACAATAATGTCACTTTAAATGCTGGGACAATTTTATAATCGATTTCAAATGAATTTGCTTGAAAATACTCACACAAGGCACAGTAACTCCCAACTTGTTCGTAGCCATGACAGCATTGCACGACCTGTTTGGAGATGTTATACACCTGCGTTTTGTATTCTGTCTTATAAACCAGGACATCACACATTGCCCATGGCAGCCACCCACCACACGGTCTCCTCTGGGTGTATGACGTTGGATAAGAGATCACATTGGTCACCGAAACATGCTCAGTCATGTTGCACAGATGATAACCTGACAGAGTCCGGTCATATCCTGAAAAATTAAAGAAATTCTAAATTGTCTGGAATTGACGAAATTTATAAACATATAGCCATTACTAGTTGTCACTGTCACATGATAATTCGGAAATCACTCTAAAGGTGATCTTCCCATTAACGGGTAACCAGATGAGACACAGGGCCCATGCCCGATCTAAGAAATATTTTGCCCATTTTCACTGGAAAAGTGCCCAAACAACAATCGCTCGGCAAGATTGCCCAGCCCTGTGTATCATCACCTTAATATTCTGATTTGGTCCTCAACAAACATTTATTTTTATTAATAATGTTGAAAATATTGTGTTTTTTGATAGTTTTGTGGAAACCATAATACATTTATCTGAAATTGTATAAAATTTCACAATTGTAGTCATATTTCTTACTTGTTAGCTACATATACTGTATAAAAAGATATAACATTTAAAAGAGATACAAATTTATAGACAACCTCCCACCAGAAAAGAAAAACCAATCAATCAATCAACTTTTATTTATAAAGCACAATAAAAACAACAGTAGTTGAACATTGTGCTGTACAGCAGAATAAATATCTTAAAAACAAGACTGACCGCAAAGCTAATGAGCAAAAGGGGTGTTTACATCGAAACCACCAATTTGACCATTCAACATTAAAATCAAGGACACTCGTAGGCCAGTGAAAACAGGTAGGTTTTTAACTTAGATTTAGAAACAGACTCAGTGTATATTAGTCTTAAAGATACAGGAAGACTATTCCATAGTTTTGTGAGTTATAACCAGGCAGTGAGTTATAACCAGTGAGATTAAGTGTAGTGGAAACAGGAGTTTTTATAAAAATGGATAACTTTACAGCTGATTCTTCACTGTTTTTTGTCAAGAAATCTCCTTAAGAGGTTCAGAGGTGAAACGATACCAAAGTATGAAATCAAATGTCCGAGATTTCATTATGAACTTTTATGCACATTAATTTTAGATACTTTTTCTGTATGTCTCATTTTTATTTCTATTGGAAATTTTAGGAGAATCATATTTGGATAACATAAGCAGATTTTTCCTACCTTCAAATAAAGTATTATGCCCCATTCCAAGGCCAAGGAGAGACGTGATTAACCAGGTAGCAACGACCCAATGCATTTTGAATCTTGATTTTCCAAAATTCCTGCTTCTCGTTTTTTAAAAACCAGTCATTGTGAACCGAACATGTTACTCTATGATCTCCACATACACTGTTGAGAGCAAACCCTTCTCCCACTGTTTGCTCTCCACAGACGCCCATCAACTCCCGCGAGTCTGTTCTGCTCTGCGCAGGTGACTCCTGTAACAACAGTGGATAATTAATGACATTTTTAAAAGCATTTCACTTTCACATACTGCATGATGCAATATGTGATATTGACAATTTACCTTTAAGCCTTGGTGGCCTGGTAGTGGGCATTAAAATTAATTTCGAAAGGTTTTTTTTTAGAGTAAAATGCGGCTTATTATAAAACAAGAATTGATTTTGGTCTTATCAGACATTTTAGTCAATAGGCTTTAATAGAGTTAATGGTGAGAAAATTCCCTAATGATGCTCTTCATGTTTTTAAAAGTGTCACCATGGTACCTTTTGCAAACCTCTAAGCTCACACTTGTTGAACTGCAAAAGGCTTTTTGCTTAGAAGATATTTTCATCCTGGTGAAAATTGTGCTGTGACTGAACCAGCTTAGTTAGAATTAGCATACTTATATACAAGTCATAAATACACAGACACGCACACATACGGACACCGGATTATCAGCAGCCAGCCTGGCATTTGGATAATTCTAGCAGCTAATAAATGTGGTGTGAAAAATTGGCTAATTAAAGAATGTCAGTGTTATGCTCTCACTGAGTGACTAATGTGTTCCCATGCACAATGTACCGTGTGCTTAAAAAACGACTGAGAGGATCATAATTCAACACGTTATTTGTCAAATAGACTGATGAAAATAAACCCAGCTTCAATATATATATAATTACAGTACAAAATATGTAGTGTTTCTGTATTGCAGTTTCTTTTAAACAGTGAGCTGTTCCTGCTGTGTTGAGTCAGAAATTATATGGTGTCCAAAATACACACTGATTTAAGTGAAAGAGTCTTGTCTTGTCCTCTGCATTTAACCCATTCAAGTGCACACACACACAATGCATCCGTGGGCACACAGACCCGGAGCAGTGTGGTGGTGCCCAGGCAATTCATGCAGTACAATCCCAAATATACTTCATAGTTTCAGGTTTTCCACAACGATGGAAATAGAGCATGTGTGAAAAGGTTGAACTTTCCTCATGCAGTTTCACTTTCATGTCATGAGTTAACTTGCTTTTGGGTAAACACAAGGTAACTCTCCCCAAGGAAGATATAATGAGTATGTCCATGATTTTTGACAGACTTTATTATTCATGTCATTTTAATTAGTCGCAGAGGGAACAGACCCCAGATCTTGAGTTAATAACTGATAATGAAAGCAACATACAGAATATTGTAGTGCAAAAATACAACATCATGCATGCCTATTAGCAACTTTAAGGATAATAAAGTCTTTCAGAGCAATACAGTTTGTTTAGTTAGATGTTGAAAATGAAAATGGTAAAATAAAATTATTAGTGCTGTAACTTATTTTTTTGCTAATTTCTATTAAATTATTTCCCAATTCAATACAATTAAAGCTCTCACTTTTAAATAAAACGCAAACAACACATTGTGCAAAAATAATTTTTAATTTTGTTGAATACAAACACTTTCACGTTTTCGCAAAACTATTATTAAACAGTGAATTAAGTAACAAATACACGTTGTTTCAGTGATCACTTCCAGAGGAATCCAACACGTTTCTTCAGAAGTGCTGATTTCTATACATGTATATGCACTTAACGACTAAAGGCTTCTTGTTTCTTTAATAAGCGAATGCATGCGAACTTAACTCTACTGTTTTTCAGTCCGTCATCCTCCGCTCATTTCCTCCATGAACGCCCACAGGCCACAGCTTATACAGCAGCCAATCAGAAAGCGGCACACGTGACGAGCGTTCTTAGCGATGACCTCATCCCTAGAGTGGGATGACGTCAAATACAAGATGGATGGAATCACGACTGCTTCATGCTCAACGCAACTCTGAAACAAAGTCCAGTGTCGGAGCTCCGCGGCATTCAAAGCCACCAAACTAGGGTGAGTCGAAATGCCGAACAACTTTATTTCACCGTCTAAATGAAGTAGTTGAATGTTGTTTTGGTAAAATCTGTATTTCCTGACGTAACGCTGAGGAGCTTTTCTCGCTCTCTCTCTTTCCTGACATAAGCGGCTGCTCCAGCCTGTTGTGCAGGATGCGACGTCTGCGCAGTCGGTGACCGAAGAGGGTGTGTGTGTGTGTGTGTGTGTGTGTGTGTGTGTGTGTGTGTGTGTGTGCGCGCGCGCGCAGACGCGAGTTATAATCGTTTCATGTCTTGTGAATAGTAAAGAAACGCAACCAGTTGCCTGTATTTTGTTACGTGTTGGGTAATTATGGTCACAGTGTGGCAACGGCGAATCAACATTGTTTTATTTGTTATGGAACTTGCGATTAAGAGGGAAAATTATTTAGCGAAATCACTTAATGTAAAAACACTCACTCCTCGTTTTCATGAGCGAATACACAAGGCAGCGTAAAACCAACTGTAACTAACGTTAGACATGATGTAATGAGTGGTCGCTGTGCGCATGCGTAGACACTGGGCAGGCCTGGTTACTACATTTTTTGATTTTTATTTGCTTGTTATCTTTCATAATAACATAAAATGTAATTTAACAGACTACATTTTTTTCAATAAAAAGTTATTGTTTATTTCATGCAAATAAGATAATTATGATCCCCCCCCCCTCTGTTTATGTTTGTAGACTTGTTTTTTCTTTTATGCAATAACAGTGTTTTATTTCATAATTATCCCCCCAACTTACCCCCAAATTTGTCAACTTATCCTTTTATTCAAATATTACTCAAATTTGTTAAAGATTTTGTAAACATGTTGCATAGTTGTGCTTGGAGTCAATTGTTTTATTTGCGATAATGCAATGAAACACACCAAATAATGCAGACATATTTTTTGGCTGTCAAACACAGAAATTATGAACACATGCAAAAACAAGAGAGAACCAATTATATATTAATAACTGATTATGTTGTAGTAGTCAATGTATGTTTTTTTTTTTGTCTATGACCTTTTTGGTTTTCTATGCATTCTTTATTTAGCATATTAAAATAAGCCGCTAATTTAAATATCTTAACCAAGTTTAGTGTTTTTTCTTCCCTCAAATACATACATACACACACACATATATATATATATATATATATATATATATATTTGGAAAATATTTTGTATTTGAAAACCACACACACACACACACACACACACACATATATATATATATATATAGTGTGTGTGTGTGTGTTGCTTTCAAATAAAAAATATTTGTTTTCAAATACAATATAGATTTTTTTGATTGTTTAATCAAATGTGTAGGGACATTAAAAAGACAAATCCCCTCATGGCATAATTTTTGGCCACTACTAATGGGCTAAACTAAAATATTTAGTGGTATTTTAATTGTCTTAACTATTTTAATCACAAATCACTGGTCAGGAAATTTGCAAGAATTGCAGAAACACTGTAGATAAAGTAACTTTGCATGGAATAGCCTTCCCCAACTTGCAGACAGCTCACAGGAAGACAAGTCAATGTTAATAGCTTTAAACAGTTCATGTAGTTGAAAAATTTTGTTTGTTTGAGTTTGTTTGAGTTTAATGTAAGCCAAAATATTCACTATAGGGTCCAAATCTGGACTCTGACCAGGCCAAAACATGAGCCTGATGGACTTGTTCTCAAGCCACTTCTTCTTCAATTTGTGCAGGAGCATTGTCATGTTGAGAAATAACATCTGATCATTCCTCTTTAGATAATAACTCTTCATTTGTGGGAAGTTTTCTGCAATATTCTCATATACTCCAAAGCATTTACTTAATTACTTAATTACTTTTCACAGTGAAGTAGCTCGCCAATCCCAGCAGCTAAAAAGGCTCTGCACAATGACAGCTCTTCCTCCATGCTTCACTGTGGGAAAGATTCATTTATTATTATATTTCTCAGCTTTTGAAGGACCGCTCTGGAGAATCACCATGCATGCAACTTGTGTTTCGTTGTGATTCATCATTCCACACAACTTCTGAACCACAGTCTCTGAATCACACTTCCCATATTCTGCCAAAAACGTCATTCGTTTTTTTCTGAGACCGCAATGGCTTTTTAAGTAATGCATTAAAATTGTAGTGCACTTAAATTTAGCTCATTTCCTGAACAATAATTTGTGGTTAAGACAATTAAAAGCCCTTGTTATTCTTGTATACTGTAATGCAATGGTTCTCAACCTCAACTCCAAGGTGTTTTATTATTCAAGACAATATTGGAAGCCTAAATACTAAGAATATTAATGAGACCTTATTGTAAAGTCTTACCAGCTTGAACATTAATGAACAATAGATAGTGTATTTATAAATGAACATATTAATAGATGAATAAAATTTGTAGATTTTTATACCTTGTGCATTAAGTAACGTTAATTAATTGACATTAGTGTAAAGTGTTACCAAGATTATTTTGATGTAACTTATTTTAAGTCACTTTCATAATGATTTTGCAATGTCAAGTCATCTTTATTTATAGTGCTTTTTACAATACAGATTGTAGTGATAGTGATAACATGAAAGCAATACAACAAAGTTTGTTTCTAGAAGAAAATTGAAAAAAATGTAACTAAATTTGTCTTTTCTTTTATTCCCCTTCAAAGGCAAAATGGAGAGCCTGGGGCACTACTGTAACCCTGCCCATGGTATTTCACTGCTGGGTGCCCTCAATGAGCAGCGGTTGATGGGTCAGCTCTGTGATGTTGTGTTGTTCGTGGGTGATCAACAGTACCAGGCCCATAAAAGCATCCTTGCAGCCTGCAGTGAGTATTTCCAGTCTCTGTTTTCCAGAAGAGACTCGGAGAACCGCTCCATTGTTCAGCTTGACTTCTGTGAGCCTGATGCTTTTGAGATTGTGTTAAACTACATCTACTCATCATCTCTGTTTGTGGAGAAATGCAGTCTGGCAGCAATACAGGAGCTGGGCTATAGCCTCGGCATTCCCTTTCTAACCAACATCATGTCTATAAGACCTCAGGCGTCATACTGTGTGTCGAGAAAACAAACGTTGCTCTCTGAGGAGGAGGAGGACGGCGCTTTGCAAAAGAGAAGTGTCATTGTACATCAAAGTCAGGGTGAACAGCCTAACGTGGAAATGTTTCCAAGGAAAAGTTTGAGTCTTCAGGGAAAACCGTTTAAGCAGGTCACAGAGCAACCCTCGCTCACACACAACTTCAGTGATCAGAGCCAATCCTCAGGACACATCAGACCAAATGAGAAAGAATCAAACAGTACCTCCAACAGCAGAAATTTGGGTGACTGCAGATCCATCATCTCCTCTCCAACGTCCATACTGAGACATCGAACTGAATACCGATCGCCATCTACAAGGCCGCAACTAACGTCCTCTGTGTCATTCAGTGAGTCTGTGCAGAATGCTAGCCTACAATCAGATCAAACCGACACCACCGTCGATGGCAGAATGGATGCATCGCATGATTCCAGACCAGTGGGCGAACAACATGGCCCACGCAACCAAATCGTTGACCGAAGTGGGCCACTTATTAAAAGTCTGCTACGCAGATCATTGTCTATGGATAGTCCGGTCCCCGTTTTTTCTCCCGCTCTGGAGCTAAAGGATTCACAACAGCATGTGGTCAAGTCAATGGCCACAACAGCTAGGTCACCATCCCCTGAAAATGAGGACCGGGTGTCCAAAGATATGCCCTTTCTTCTCAGGTCTAGACAACGCAACGCGTACGAGACGGACGGCACTCAAACAACCCAACTCAGAATCAAAGCGGAGCCCAGCAGTCCCCTTGCCGACCCTTCTGAAATCGTTCGCATCACTGTTGGAGACAACCTGCCGGTAAATTTCAAAGACTTTCAGGCAAACTATGATGAAGGTCCCAGAGGGTATTTTACTCCCTCGATGAAGAGGAAGAGTAAGATGGATGGTAGTTATATGCCCTTTAAGAGATCCAGGTCTGTCAATGAGCATCATCCGTTTGATGAGGTACCTTACAATTCCAGCATGGACACTAGTAACGAGGAACCTGGAGAACTTCGGCCAAACAAAATGTTCAAGTGCTGGAACTGCCAGAAGGTGTTCAGGTCCAATGCAGGTCTGTATCGCCACGTGAACATGTACCACAACCCAGAGAAGCCGTACGCTTGCGACATCTGCCATAAGCGCTTTCACACAAACTTCAAGGTCTGGACTCACTGCCAAACCCAGCATGGCGTGGTGCAAAATCCTGCACCCTCCTCCAGTTCCTATTCGGTCCTGGACGAGAAGTTTCAAAGGAAGCTAATCGACATCGTCCGAGAGCGGGAGATAAAGAAGGCCTTGATTATGAAGCTCAGGAGAACAAAGCAAGGCTTGCCGTCACAATCCTTTGGCAGGAAAAGCAGGCGATCGAGGTCCTACGGATGCCCCTACTGTGGCAAAATGTTTTACTTCCAGTCACACTTAAAGCTACACATGAAGGGACACTCCGCTGAGCTGGCTAACCTTGACACGGATGCTGAGAGAGACCTTCAATACAAGCAACAGCAGCAGTTGGCACATCTCAAAGAAAACCAAGACAAGGACGTATTTTCTTGCCGGCTTTGCAATGAGAAGCTGCCCTCTCTGCCTGAGTTAGAAGACCATGAGAGGGCTTGCAGGTATGCTACGGTCTGCCCATACTGCGGACTCCGATTCTCCAACACGGTCGTCAAGAAAGACCATGAAGCTCACTGCAAGTACAAAAAGCTGACCTGCCTTGAATGCATGCGCACTTTTAAGTCCTCTTTCAGCATTTGGCGTCATCAGGTGGAAGTTCACAATCACAATATGATGAGTGTTAAGGAGCAGTTGACGCTCGGTCTGCAGGAGAGCAATCACGATGAATCATCCAATGTGTTCGGAGTTCCTCCCTCCTCTCAAGAGTCGATACGTGACCCCAGAGAGGAAGCAGTGTACAGCGACTCATCCGTTCCACCCATGTATGATTCGGAAGACTCGTCGTCTTATGTCCCAGAGGACTTGAGTGCTCACGGTCAAGGGGAGCTGCAGGTCAAAGAGGAACCTCAAGAGGAAGCGGTATCAGCCAAGGACAACGTGAGCACCGGATCCGAGGAACCAGGCGTTTGGCCTTGCGAAAAGTGTGGGAAGCTTTTCAGCACCCACAAAGACCTGGAACGACATCAGGAACTGCTTTGCCATATCAAGCCCTTCATCTGCCACATATGTCACAAAGCGTTCAGGACCAACTTTCGTCTCTGGAGCCACTACCAATCCCATATGTCCACACCTGAAGAGCCAGGGATGAGAGAGATTGACAGGCTTCCGTCCTCTCCATCTCCTTCTCCACCTCTTACGATTTCCATCCCAGAGCCTCCAACTTCTCAAAAGGCGACCCATTCTGGGGTGGACGCCTCAGAGGAGGAGCCCAGAGGCTCCATGTCGCCGTCAACCAAGAAGCCAGAGCAGGACAAGACTAGCGACGATGAGCCTGGGGAACATTCACACGTCAAGACCAACAGTACAGACAAAGCCATCACCCCGCAGGAATCCGACACGCTTTTTTACCATGCGCCAACCCTCTCTGCTCTCACCTTTAAACGGCAGTACATGTGCAAATTCTGTCACCGGACATTTAAGACGGCTTTCAGTCTGTGGAGTCACGAGCAGAGCCATGCGTAAACGCAGTTGTAGCCCTTAACCATTGGAATCAACTAACTTGGACGGTTTCTCTTTTAAACACGAATTGCAGCCAAAACCCAGGGATTTATTAATCATACTTAATATAACTTATTTCTATAAACAGTATTCAGAATGCATGCCAAGAGTTTCCCTGTATAATTTCTCTGATTTTAGGTTTATTGTTCAGTGATCAAAAAAGACTGTTAAATGAAACTGACTTCTTTCACTCTTCGAATTATTGCAAATTTTGATGACTTTTTTGGGTTATTACGCAGATGTACACCTCTCTTGTTTTAGTGGCCTTTATGCGGTTGTTTAGCACTTTCAAGCAATTCCAAATAAACATTGTTCTCTATTAAAAGCACAGGCTGGTGTAGACATGGCTCTTTAGTTAGAAAAGATAGATCCGTCACATCCAAAACTACAAATTAATTCCCCCTTTTTTTAGTTTATTTTTGGCCGATTTAGAAATTTCTGTTTCATACACAAAGCTATTAAAGGAGTAGTTCACCCAAAAATGAAATGCTGGTAATCAAACTGTTTACGGTAGCCATTGACTTGAAGCCATTGACTTCTACAGAAGAAAGAAACTCATACTGAAATTGGAACAACACAAGGGTGAGTAGATTGTCAAATTTTTCATTTTTGTGTGAGCTATCCCTTTTATATTGAATTGTTGCTTTGATAATTATAATACCATATAAAACGCAAATCTTAAGCAGACTGAAATGAATAGGTATCAAACTTTGTGAACATTGACAGAGGTGAAGACAACATGTTTATAATTTAATTTCAACATCGCTACTAGGGCTGTGAAGGGCGATTAATCGCATCCAAAATAAAAGTTTTTGTTTACATAATACATGTGTGTGTTGTGTATATATAAATACACACATATGCATATATATATTTAAGAAATATGTGTTATTAATATTTAAGAAATATGTGTTATTAATATATCAAATATTTATGTATATTAATTTTGTATAAATATATACATGCAAATATTTCTTATATATATATATATATATATATATATACATATGAAGAGTTCAGATGCAAAAGACTCTAAATGCCATTTGAAATTTTCTTCTTTAATGATGATTTTTATCAAACTTGTATATTTAAGTTCAGTAATTTCACTTAAATAACAATTAATAGGTAATTATCACATTTAAGTGAAATTACTGAACTTAAATATACAAGTTTGATAAAAATCATCATTAAAGAAGAAAATTTCAAATGGCATTTAGAGGCTTTTGCATCTGAACTCTTCATATATATATATATATATATATATATATAAACACAAACTTTTATTTTGGATGTGATTAATCGCGATTAATCGTTTCGCAGTCCTAATCGCTTCTTAAGTTGTATTTTTCATCTTTAAGAGTATTTTTGTTCACGTGTTTTGCCAGTTCCGTTGGCTTTCCTGGTATTTTTGTTTAGAGGTTGTGGATAATATTCAGTGATTGTATTGAGCAAATAGAAGTATAATTAGCAGGTTTGGAGTGATGTTCTTTAAGCTTTTTAGTGTGTGCCTGCAATGTGGATCTTCTAATACTTTTGTTGTACAGGACATACAGTATATGTGGGAATTACTTCTCATAAATGTGTAGAGATGAAGTTTAAGTAGATTTTCACGCTGTATCAGTACTGTATCAGTACATTGTGAGCTCTGCCATTGTGTAAGCTCAACTTACCAGAACTCAGTACTCAGTGATTAATGAAGTCTTGATGCAATGATGTTGAATGGTTGGACATTCCTTATGTTCAGTGGCCCTTTTCTGTGACAGTATGACCCAGAGAAGATCTTTATTCTAAAATATTAAAGCACAAAAGCGGTAATCTTATATTTAGCAAGTATTTTAAATATTAAGAAGTCTTCTTCCCTTACATTAGGGGATGTTTGGCTTAGCAAGCTTGTGGCCTTTAAAGCACAAAATCTAAATATGTTGCTTGCTCTTTGCATTTTCCTTCAGCTACTGTCTCATTTACTCTATATTTTGATGGATAAAACAGTAATACATTCCTTTTGATCTTGTCCCCCAAAAGGTATTGATTAATGAATATGTTGGCTATTTCTCAGGATAGTAATACCTGATTTAGTTTGCATTTACTTTTGTCCCCAGTATTACATGACACTTAACATCATCTTTTTCTTTGGGGTTAAGAGTTAAACCATAGGTGATTAAAACGAGCATTTCACTCAGTAAAGGATCAATTTCTTAACATGGTTCATTGAAAGATTGTATGACATTGAATGAATAGTGATGACAGAACAGAACGTTTAATCCTCAAACTCATTTTTATGGTCTTTGTTTGTACATGAAAATTATCCCCCGCCGGTTTCACAGACAAGGTTTAAGATAGTCCCAGTCTAAATTGCATGTTTGAGCTGTTTTAACTAAAGCAACTTGCACTGACATATCTTAAAATATGCCAGTGTCATTTTTTTTTCTATGACACATTTATAAAAGCTACTTAAATGCCTTAATTGACCTAAACCTGGCTTAATCTGAGCCCTGTTTGTGAAACCGAGCCTTTTTTGGTATTCCTGTGGTATCACTGCAATAACTAATATTTGTAAGCACTTGAATTGTTCTAATGTGGCTTTAAAAACTGTATCAGTTTTTGTGTTAAAGCATTTTCTACTGTTTTCTGTGCTTGCTTTATAAAATAAATATCAATACTGTGTAACTGAACTTGTGTTTATTTCATATACCGTAATATGGACATTATGTCAGTTTAAAAATTGACAGAAAGTCTTGTCATTGGAATTATTTTTCTATATATATAAACTAAAGTGCAAAATATTTAAATGTGGGAAGAATTAATGGTAAAGACGTTTTTTTGTTTTTTTTTTACGGAATATGCATGTTTTTTTATTTTTATTTTATTTTATTATGAACAGCCTTTAAAAGACCATCTGAAATGAAGTGAATTCATGGAAAAAACACCTACTTTTGGCTTAATTGTGATGATTATAAAACAGTTTGCAATCGTTCACACATTGCATTTTCCAAGAACACTAACACGCATGTTTTTCTTAAATTTGTGTTTATCAGGGTAACACAGACAAACAAATTCAAACGAACAACAATATGACATAATTTAGGGTGCATAATTAAAAACAAAAACAACAAAAAATAACTGAACTGGATGCTTGTTTGAATTAGATAAAGGATAATGGATGCCGTTATTATAATATAAAAGTGTAGTGAATTTATTTTTAAATCCCGCTAGAGATTTTCCTTCTTTTTTTAGTTTTTTTTACAAGATCATCATAAATGTCCAACAACCATTAGGCTCCAGCAGCTTCACGGTCACATTTTTACAAAGCCAGCGTGTCTTTGATCAGCCTCCTCATGGTTGTGCTCACTGACGTGCCCAGAGAATCTGTGATCTGGTACGTGATCTTGTACAGATACGGCTGGACGTCTTTCAAACTCGTATCGAACACATTGTCCACCTCTGACTGTGTGGGCATCTTGGGAAGATACTCGTGACGGTTAATCACCTCTACGATGTTGATGACTTTCTCGCCGAGCTTCTCGCCAACTTTCTCTCTGCAGATCTGACGCTCTTGTTCGTTGGCCAGGTTCACCACGTTCACCTTGATGCTCCAGACCTCCCAAGGGATGCATTCATCAGAAAAGGGCCAGCGTGACTTCTTCTTCTGGTAGAACTCCACAGAGATCTGACCCATGCCGTCACTTCCGGAATTGCCAAGAGCATCCTGGGTTATAAAAAGCAATTTCACAACAGTAAGATTGTTGCTAATTTTGGGATAGGAATTTGTATGAATAATTGTATCAATATTAATTTAACCTATATTTGTATTTAGCTTTTAGTGGGTGAGAAAAATAACATTTCAATTACATGTTTTGTTTTTGCCAATAACAGAAAGTTATGTACAGAATTTGCTAAATATTTTTCTTTGCAAAAAAAAAAAAAAAAAGTGAGGTGGAACCATGAAAAAATAGGATAATACCGTGGTACTCAAAATTAGTGAATAATGCATGTCCAAACATGGTTTACCATATTACAATTTTCAAATAACGATAGTAAAAATCATTAAACGGATCATTCACCAAAAATTCTGTCAATTTTCTCACCCTCGAGTGAATTTCTTTCTGCTGAACACACAAAAAAATAATATTTTGAAGAATGTTGATAACCAAACAGATGACTGACTTCCCTAGCATTTTTTCCCCACACTATGGAAGTCAATGAGGCCCATAAACTGTTTTGTTATACCCATAATCTTCAAAATATCTTCTTTTGTGTTCAGCATAAGAAAGACATTCTGTATCATTCTGCTCATTTTTGGGTGTACCATCCCTTTAAGTACTGTGATCAAAAATACCTTAAATTCTGCTACCGCTTTCCTGATGACCCTGTCCAGCTCATCAGAAGACACTCGCACGAATGTGAAGTCGATGAAGTCGCAGTCCATGTCTTGAGTTCCCACTGTGCCGATGGAGTACGTGCCCTCTTTCTTATAGTGAAATTTCCCTGTGCTGCGGTGCAGGAGGATCGTGTGCAGGAGGGCTAGCATGGCCTCGTCCACCTGCCTACCCTCCACTGACACCTCCAGGACCTCTGATCGACAGTTCATGCTGCTCTATAATACGGTTCTACAGTTATTAAAACAAAAGGACTTTCATTCGATCTGTTGATCTGAGCTCAAATGTGTCAAATCCAAATAGACACGACGTAGCTGTACACAATACACATTCAGCTGTTCTGCTTCTAAAAGCGCCACTTTAGACTGAGTGACACAGCCTAAGATTCGAAGTTATAATAAAATATGGACTTAACAATATAATTATAAAAATCAAATGTAATTTAAGAATCAAAAGGGCGTTCATATAACATGTTTACCTGAAGTACGAAATGTCGATGCGCATTATTTTTCTTGCGACGTGGTACTCTTGTTTTGTAAATATACGTCAAATGCGTACAGGGCGGGATAAGGGACATTTTAGTTTTAGCGTTTCACGAACGTTTCAAGCTGAAATGACCGGTTGAGGTCTGTGGGCTCACTGTGTCCATTTCTTTTACTGTCTATGAAAATGAAAGGTTCAGTAGTAGGAAATGGACAGACATTATCGTGCTTGCAAGATTTAATGACAAAAAAAAAAAAAAAAATCTAAATCAGTGTTGATGTATTTGCTAGTTGTCAACTATCGTTTTTTACGACAAAACAAATGTTCAGTCAAAAATGATGCAAACAATAAATAAAAGGTGGCAGGTAAACGGAAAACTACAAATCGATTATTGTTTTAATAATTTTATCACATTCTACAGTCGTACTGCTCCGAGGTATGATAAAAATAAAATAAAATAAAAATAAACCAAATGTTTAAAGCCAAACCATTTAATTGTACGAATATAGAACTTTTCCAATATTAAAAAATATATATATAATAAATGCTTTTTTTTCGGACCTTCCACTCAGTTGTAAAATTATACTTAGTCAATCCAAATATTTCCATACAATGAAAAAATAAGCGCAACTCCTTCTCATTACTACGGAAATTACACGAGTAATTCAGCATTTCAATATGCAACTTTACCTACTAGAAATGTGTAAATGGCGTATTGGGACTTTTATTTTGAAGAGCATTTTCCCATTCAATGTCGTCTCTTGTTTTGGAGGGAGTATCAAAAGGAAGAATTTTTTTTTCCTTTAACGAAAATGCTCGATCGATAGTAAATCCTGCAGAGTACATTTTACGTGGTTAAAACTAAAAGCTTGTGTATTTTAGCCTATAATATGTTCTAAACTGGCATAGTAACGTTATCGACAACAGTAGTGTTGAAAATGCACAGGACTGTGCCCAGCCTTCCCCTGGCGCCCTCAGTGAAGGTAAAACTCATCAATGCGGGTTTCCAAGTGGCCTCAGACTTGACTGAAATGCGTCCTCTTCAGCTCTGCAAAGGTATTTATATAACTAAACCCAACTTTTGAATTTGAAAATAGCCTCACACTAGTTACAGATTACTAGAAAGGTATTTTTCGTTAAATCCATGCTTGTTTCGTTCACAGAGGCAGGTATATCACAAGAGGAGGCAGTGGAGGTGTTGCAGATGTTGAAGGATGATGCTCATCCCCATCAGCAGAGAGCGCCAACAGAGAGCCTTACAGCCCTGGATCTTCTGCACCAGGAGCAGACTCTGGGGAGCATTGTAACATTCTGCTCAGGCCTGGATGATGTCCTTGGAGGGGGTGTACCTGTGGGAAAGACCACAGAGATCTGTGGAGCCCCTGGTGTCGGAAAAACTCAGCTATGGTATGGGAGGAAACAGATTTCAAAATGTGTTAGTTCATCTTAAAATTGGTTAAAAGTTCCACATATTTGTGTTGTTCACTATAGTTTCAAAAGTGGTCTGTTTTTCCCATTTGAAAGCATGCAGCTGGCTGTGGATGTGCAGATTCCTGTGTGTTTTGGAGGCCTGGGAGGAAAGGCACTGTATGTAGACACCGAAGGCAGTTTCTTGGTGCAGAGGGTTGCTGATATGGCGAAGGCAGCCGTGCAGCACTGCACCCTTCTAGCAGAGGATACAGGTCTGATTTGAGTAGCTGAGTTTAGTTGAGATGTCTAAATATGTAAATATATTCAGAAAGAAATGTCCAATACTGATCAGCTTTATCTGTAGATTATTGAGAATTTCCATGAACACGAAAAGTATAATTGTCCTCTGTCTTTGCTTTTCCTCTTAGAACAGAAACAAGCTTTAGAGGAACTTACTGTCGATAAGATCTTGTCCAACCTCTTCTTGGTCCGTTGCCATGACTATGTAGAGCTGTTAGCTGAGGTTTACCTCCTACCTGACTTCCTGTCTGAGCATCCTGAGGTAAAATATGAGTAATTTAGACCACTGATATCTCTTTCAGCACAGTGATATTACTCCCATTTAGATGCTCATGAATGACATGCTCGATCATAGGTGCGGTTAATAGTGATTGACAGCATTGCCTTCCCATTCCGCCATGACTTTGAGGATCTTTCTCAAAGGACCCGCCTCCTGAACGGCCTTGCCCAGCAGCTCATCCAACTAGCAACACAACACAGTTTAGCGGTAATCGGCACCTCGTATCACTGAAACAAAGAGTTATGAATAGTTGACAAATCTAGGATTAATTAATAATTTTTTGCAGCAAACTCATATTTGGTTAAATTGAAATAAATACAATTTAATTTAACAAAAAAATTTGAATTATATATGCAGTGTACTAATTAGAGCTGTCAAACGATTAATTGCGATTAATCGCATCCAAAATAAAAGTTTGTGTTTACATAATATATGTGGGTGCACTGTGTGTAATTATGTTATATATATAAATACACACACATGCCTGTATATATTTAAGAAATATTTTCATGTATATACTGTATATAGATTTATATATGATTTATGTGATCTATAAATATAAATGTTTTCTATTTAAAAAATATTTTTCATAAATATACATACATGCATGTGTGTGTGTATTTATATATATATACAAAATAATTATACACAGTGCACCCACATATATTATATGTACACATATACCACATATATATATATATGTAAACACATGCGATTAATCGTTTGACAGCCCTAGTACTATATATATATATATATATATTAGTACCGGTCAAAAGGTTGGAAACATTACTGTTTTTAATATTTTTGAAAGAAGTCCCTTATGCTCATCAAGGCTACATTTATTTACTTAAAAACAGTAATATTGTGAAATATTATTACAATTTAAATGAGTGGTTTTGTATTTTAATTTAATGCATTTTTCTGTGATGCAAAGCTGAATTTTGTGGATATATATATATATATATATATATATATATATATATATGCACATGAACATTTTTCAATTCAGTTACCATGTGTTTTTAGGTTATTTTGACGAATCAGATGACAACAAGAGTTTCAAATGGCCAATCCAAGCTGGTTCCTGCATTAGGTAAGACGTAACAGATATGAGGGCATTGTTTTGCTTTGCTTTGCATAGTAGTCGTCACCGTCCTAACAATTACAATTCACACTTTAGGTGAGAGTTGGGGTCATGCTGCGACACAGAGGCTCATCCTGCATTGGGAGGGACTGAGGAGGTAAACAGACTTTTTTAATTTGCTAATTGTGTGGGAAGGTGTTTATTGTGGCCTAGATTTAGCCTAGTCTTTTAGTCCACTCAACCTGACAAAATGTTGCAATAGAATAAGAATATATATATATATATATATATGAAGAGTTCAGATGCAAAAACCTCTAAGTGCCATTTGAAAATTTCTTCTATAATGATAATTTTTATCAAGCTTGTATATTTAAGTTCAGTGATTTCACTTAAATGGCAATGATAATTACCTATTAATTGTTATTTAAGTGAAATTACTGAACTTAAATATACAAGTTTGATAAAAATCGTCATTAAAGAAGAAAATTTCAAGTGGAATTTAGAGGCTTTTGCATCTGAACTCTTCATATATATATAAATTATATAATATAATGTATATATAACATAATATATATAACGTATGATTTTTCACACGTATGATTTTTTTTTAAACGGCCAACATCGATGGTGTTCTCAGCCAAATGTGTCTGATAGAGAGAGAGCGAGAGTATGTTGCATAAACTCTTTACCCTTCACCTCCGTGGGTGATGGAATGAATCACTTTGAACAAGTAGCTTGCTTTGCCTTTTGTAGACCTTATTCATAATGCATCCTGCATTCCTGCCAGTCTATTACTTTGTTGCAGCAGGAAGCTGAGAGGCACAGAGAGCATCTCCATCTTGCTCTCTCGTCCCTCTCTATGCAGTTGGAGGTCTTTCTTCTGGCTGTAAAGTTCAGCTTCCCTGCATTTGAACTGCCACAGACCCTCTTGCTTTTTAAACTGAGCAGACAAGGTCAGAGTGGAAGAGAATGTGCATTGTCCAATGATATAACAAGTCATTTTATATTTTTTTCACATTTCCACTTTGTGCTTAGGCTTGCCTCCCTGTACAAATCCCCAAGTCAAATGGAGGCCACAATTCAGTATCAGATTACAGTAAGTTTAATAGTAACAGAGGGGAATATATACTTGTACTCTTTATATCGAGAATTTATGACATAGTTTTTCCTTATATATATGATCTCACACAGGTCCAGGGTTTCAGGGATGCCCCAGATGAACCCAGACATGCTTCACCTTCAGGAAACACCAGCAAACGCCCTCGAATGGAGGATCTGTCTTGAGGATCTGGCAGGAATGTACAGATATTTATATATTATATGAAAAGTCAAATAATAACAATTAGGTCTTGGATTATTAATTTAATAAAGTATAGAATATTAGTGGATGACTAATATAAATTTCGGTGCCCGGCGATTACAATTCAGGAGTAAATAATGAAAATGCAAAGCTATTCCAAAGTGACCAAAACTTAAATTGGATGACGGATCTGGTTAAAAGCTATATATTTATCAAAGCTATTCTTGCCATCACCACTTTTCCTGGCTAATCTCTTGTATATAATTATGCAAAATTGTTTTTCTGCAGCTTCAAGTGCTAGCGATTAATCAAAGTAATTGACAATCACCAGTAATTAATCACGTCACTTAAATTGCATGGGCCAAAACTTTGTGGCATAATATGCTAAATTAGTAAGAGTGTATTGAATAATTTGGCTCTAATGAACCCAGTGAGAAGGTGTTGTGTATATTGTGTTGTACAGATGACTTTCTGTCTTGCTTGTTGCATGAGTGACAATATGAAGATAAAGAGTTTACCTCTCACATTCGCCTCCAAGTAACAGTAATAATTTAGCCGCAGATTGTTCCCGTTCAATATCGGTATATCATCCAGGTTCAGTTTGTTCCCAGTGTGTATGTGAGGTTCATCGCTTTAATTGAATTATACACTGGGAAGCCAGCATTACATCAGCACAAAGATAAAATATGAGCACTTCACCTCGTATTTCCTTGGCTGGCAATGGATAGTTTAGACATCGGGCAGAAGAATTGATTTTGTGGACAGAAGAGGACATTCTGTTCTTGATGTTTTTAACCTGCATGTTAAGACACATGGTTAGATCATGAATGAAGAATTGTCTGTGACTGCTAGACTAATAGGATTACATCATTTGTCAGGTCAGGTTTAAGATGAGTGACTGTTCAGTTGTGTCCTAACAGACACTGGACCTCGGGCTTTCTCAGGTGAGGAAGGTACACTGGGTATTATTCCTACACTGCATCAGACATGAGTCATGACATAATATCACAGGTTACTGTCTGACTGTGAAAACAATTTCAGATTGCTGCATACCGGCAAGGATACACTTTGTCATATTTTACAAATAGGCACTATAACATTTTAAAAATAGTGAGTCAAATATATAAAAGTGTTCTGTCATTTTTTTTACCTAGCAATAGCTGTGGTAACTGTAATATTTTTCCAGTAACTATGTTCAATACAAGTAGTAAACATGGAATATATTTGAAACTATGCTAATAGTAGTATCTGGCAACCCACAGATTAAATAACAATGATCATTCTGAAATGGGATGGGATATTCCAATAATCCGTTATTTGAACACACTTTCAGGATTTTCTGTCATTTTAATTTCTCAGCAATAACTGGAGTTGATTAGAATATTTTGAGTGAAAATATTTACACTAGTACATCTTTGAAAGGGTTAATTTTCCGTTTAATGTTATCTGGCAACCCCCGTTCGAACTAACAACGCATGCTTTAAAACCACAGTAAATATCGGGTCCAGTTAACTATTTGGCTTCTGATATGCTTCAAAATATCTTCCCTTGTGTTCAGCAGAAGATAGAAATTCATACAGGTTTGAAAAACTTGATGACAGAACTATCCCTTCAAGGTTATTTATACTAATATCTGGCAACCTGCAGCTGAACTAACAATGCCTGGTAGCAGAACAGTTAATTCCCAGCGATGTTGTGAAATCTACAACAGTTGTTATTTTTAGCTTAAGCTCTGATGTCCTATATACACGCACAGCGAGCATCACTTATCGAGTTTCCCCACTCATAAACATTCTCTCGAAGCGCTCTGTCGAAGTAAGCCTCGGCCGTTTCGAATAAACGATTAAAGAATTGTTTCGCACAGCGTGTGAATCAGTCTCAGCCTAATCAGATTTTAATACCTGCATCAAATTTATGAGGGCTAGCAAACAGCCCTCATGTTGACGGTTTTAAATGTACATTGGGGCCATTATATAGTGATATTATTTCAACTTTGGCATGAAATAGGTTATAATCCGTCTAAACTGTGTTTGTTTGCGAGATAACGTTGAAGGAGTGCCAAATGCCAAATGAGGACGATGCAGACTAAACCTAAATCGATCAGCAAGAACCATAGGCTGATTACGTCACGAGCTTTTGTGTTCGATCGACGTCATACGTTCAAGGAGCCACGAAACTGATGTGGCTAAAAAAGGTTGGCTTAGCGCGCGCATCACGGACTTGCGTCTACTGGAAAGTTATTTATAACAAAACTGATATTCTCACACTATCAGTGTTTTATATATAGTCTGGCTCGTGCAAACACTCCAGAAGTGCGTTGTTTAGGTCTCTTTGTGTGTTTTCCTCGATGCACATTTCTTTTTTAGTAGGCCAACAGAACACAGCACGTGTAAATAATAATAATAAAAAGGTTGTACTGTAGAATAGGCTATCTATTATTTGCATTATTAATGTTATAATGAATCAGGCCTATGTATTAAATTATATATAAAAAAAACTCATTTAAATTAGCCTAATATTTAAGATATAAAAAATGGTTGAAAGCATTTCAATGCAAAATAATGAATTATTGCACTTTTAACCCCTTTAATGTCTACATTTTCCCAGTTATGTGAGAAGTGTATGTTTTGTTTGTTAATCTCTGGTCACATTTGTAACCGGTGGCTCTGATGTTTCCACTGGTCAAAAAATGCGACATGTTCATATCATGTCATGATTTACATAAGAGCAATCTAAATATTTTATATATAAAATACAGAGGAAGACGATAAGTCAAATTTCCAAATTAAACTTTAGTTGCAACAATTCCATGCTGGTTCAATGCAGGTAAGTTTAGTGAAGAGGCGGAGACAATTAAGCCTATTAATAATAGACCTTTAAAATATTATATGGATATGCACCAAATATTATGTGTATCTGTCATTATAAGTGTATTTGGTGACTATTTACGCCACGTTAATTTAAATGTTTAAACATTTTTGACCCATTTGATGCAAAAGTACGTTTTCATCACAAATAGGGAATTAAATGGGTTAATGAAAAAATTACCCCTCTCCATCATACCCCGCCCCTTGTGACGTCACGTCGGTCTATTGCGCGACTCCCCTCTCTTTTCACGCGCGCGCCGCGGGCCCTCCCCAACTCGCGCGACTAGAGAGTCGCTCCAGCCTATGATTCAAAGTAGTGTAGACTTCTTGCCCGGCTCCAGCTGTCTCTGGTCTCTCCAGGAATGAGAAGCAATGGCCGGTTCTGCCAACGAGGAGAAAACCTTCAAGAGGTTCTTGGAGCTCTTCTTGCGTGAGATGAAGCCACCTCTCCAAGAGGACGTACCTCTACCTATGCGCCCCTTGTCGGACCTCATCACGGAGGACGAAGTGGAAGGGGAATGCCTCGACCTGTGTCTCCAGCACCTGTGTAAATAGTTAAGTACCTTCATTTGTTTCACTTACGATGCATGTGTTGTTAACCTAAATGCGTTTATAACATTAGACAGCCTAAGAATAAAAATAGTAGGAGTGTTCAAGTAGGAGAATTGCATAGAAATAGCCTAACCTGCACAGTTATTTGTGTGTGTGTGTGTGTGTGTGTGGAGAAAAAGCGCAGTAATATCCACCACTCTTATTAACTTGAAAATTATTATCACTGTAGGAAACTTCAGTTTCACACACTGTTCCAGATCGGGATGTTTAGTTGGTCTACATTTCGACACGGGTAAAGCTTTAAGTTTTAGTCTGGCCACTTTTGAAGAACATAAAATATGAGCTTTTTTCCCTACTGTAATAGTTCCTGTGTTAGGCTACTATGATATGTCCACAGGTGTCAATGACATTAACATTATTAATAATAATAAATATCGTTATGTTGTCAGATTTTAATGTTTAATTATATAGTATGACAGTGATAGCGATTACAGATATACAAGGGAAAATATGACAACTGTCATGAAAGTCATTCTGATGGGGAAATACTTTTAATAATGCGTTCATAGTGCATATTTGTAGTCCGTTTTCTGATTAGACTACACCCTCCGTTCAGTGACCCCCTATAATCCTCTGATGTGGTACGAGCACCTGTATTCTCCATATTTTGCATCTTAATCATTTTGACGTTACCATTTTCTTTTCTGTCAGTTGTTAACGACATGTTTTCATCTGATATGATCGCATGCTTATCAGTTTTGTAATCTGAGGAAGCATACAGCATCCGTGTCGGTCGACGAGACAACTCAGCATGACTGGTTTTATGGAGTCATGCATGTTTCATGCAACACGGTTACCTTTTTCTTTCTTTCAAGATTTCGGTTGTGTGTGCCATCGCCTTATGCCAAGACACACCTGTCTACATCTTCATTTACATTCAAACGCGAACAGCTTGTAAGGGAAGTGTTGCGAGCATTGTGATATCGCGGTGTTTTGAATTCTGGGCGAGATCTGACTGTGGGAAGGGGTTACGTTTGATAAACTACGTCATTGGCTTGCTATAAATAGCCCATTCAAACCCAGCAGAACCTTTATGACCATGAAATAGACCTACTCATACACATCTAATGGATCTGATGATAAATGGCTGCGCAAATGCCCAGATAGTTGCACATTTCCTGAGTCAGGTGTTGTCAACTGTGCTATACATTGATTTGTTTTTAGTTTCACGTTTCATATTTTTCTGCATCCATTTTGTGGCTATAATGGAGTATATTTTACATAGTAGACTACATAGGTCCTTTTTTGGCTTGTGAGTACTGTATGATTTCAGGGTCATACATTACCATCACAGACTAAATATTATTTGACATTGATTCTATGAATATTTTAAGAAATAATAGGCATAGATTATAAAATGAATATTCTGAGAATTACTAGAAATTGATTATGATATGAATAGTCTAAATGTTGTTAGTTATAATCTGAATATTTTTAGACATGGAATAAAATCTTTATATTATTATTAAGCTCTGATTATACTGTAAATAATATAAATATATCCCTCGGAAATGATAATAAGAATATTCTTAATATTATTAGACACCATTTAATCTGTGTGTTATCAGACATGGATTATAATGTGACTTCAGATTATTGGTGAATCAATGTGGAATTTTATTTGGTTACATCCTTGAATGCACTTGCTCAAATCATATTAACCTTTTCATTTTGATCTAAACTGCGCCCCACAAAGAGGTTATTGGTTTTTGTGTTTGAATTTCATTCAAATGTCAGCAGCAGGTTGCCATGGCCTTCTGTGGACAATCCCTTTTGCTCTCGCACAAACAAACGTACAAATACAGTCTTTTTGGGGAATCTCAGAGCTATTTCCACATTCAGATTTTTGCAGTGCTCAATGTGGATACTCAGATGTTAATGTTTATTTTAGGTGACTGACCCTGGCTAATATCTGATCCTCAGGAGAGAGTTGCTTGAGGTTAATGGGTGTTTACCGTTTTTCCTGACCGGGAGCTTAGTTGAATGACCTTAACCTGACATAGATTGATTTAACCATTTGCCACTCGAATGCATAATTATTTTGGGTATTATTTTAAGGGGGAACAAGCACCACTACATGAAACAAGAGTAGCCTATATTTCCCCAATATTTAAGCAAAAGTTGCAATCGTTTTCAGTGCACTTTTGTTAAAAAGATTATAAATGCATAGATATGTAATTTTGAAAAAGCCTATACAGTATGTACTAGTTCACCATTATTTCCAAAAGGTATGTTCTTGCTAAATTGCTCCCAAAAGTAAGATTGTTATATCATAAATAGTAGAATAAGCACCCCTTAGTTCTATAATACTTTCAGTATAAATCATTTTTTTTAATTCTCCTGGTTGTTACCCCTTTATTCCCCAAACTCAAAATATTGTTCCCTCATACATATATTGTAAAGTATAAGTACCGAAGGTTATGCTGTAAAATCGCTTTAACTACGCAGTACTTTCCGAGCTGTAATCTAAAGCGTTACCTAATGTAGTTAGAGCTGTGTATATGCATATTTATTTATAGTCTAAACATGAATTTAGTTCCTTAAATAATGCATCTTCTTCCATTTAGCTACATCAGTTTATCCTTGCTCTGAACGAAGGCATGCCCGCTCGCCTCGCATAATTGAGGATTGAAGCTTGCGCTGCCTGTGTGGTGATTCAGCTGAACGTATGATTATTTTGTCGCTGGGTTGAAGATCTAATAATAGTCCTGAGAGAAAAGTGGAGATCCCCTTTGTTCTGTTCTGTGCGGGTACAGGGTGGCTGTGTGTGTGTGTGTGTGTGTGTGTAAAAAGGAGAAGAGGAGAAGCAAAAATTGGTTAGGGGATGTGGGTGACGGCGCGGTGAATAAGCTTTGTTACAAATCCAGAGCTCCAATGATGGTGGCAACCCATGACTTGTCTGACTGAGGAAGAATGCAGGGTATCATTTAATAAGACCCAATCAATAGAGAAACAGTGACTCTACACATAAGGATTTCATCACGGCATCTTTTATATTAATACAGCGCACTCCTCAATGCATGATTTATGTTAACGACACAGCAATGGTTTAGCTTTTGCTTTTACTTTTCTTTTTGAAGGTCCAGTATTGTAATATAGTTTTCCTCAACTGGTTTTGATTGGTTTCAGAATGTAGGCAGGTTATTTAATTGATTTAATTTCCCTTGCAACTGTTCCATTTTGGTATATATATTAGGGCTGTCAAACGATTAATTGCGATTAATCGCATCCAAAATAAAAGTTTGTGTTTACATATATGTGGGTGCACTGTGTATAATTATGTTATATAAATACACACACATGCTTGTATATATTTAAGAAATATTTTCATGTATGTACTGTATATAGATTTATATGTAATTAATTTATATTATATATAAATATAAATATTTTATAAATAATATTTTTTTTCTTAAATATACATGGATGTGTGTGTATTTATATATATACAAAATAATTATACACAGTGCACCCACATATATTATGTAAACACAAACTTTTATTTTGGATGCAATTAATCGTGATTAATCGTTCGACAGCCCTTATATATATATATATATATATATATATATATATATATTTACTTTCTCACCCTCAAAATATATATATATATATATATATATATATATATATATATATCACTGACATACTTTGGAATAAAAACACTTATTATACTCGCAATACTAGTATCAAAAATTTCAACATTCAGATTTGAGGGTGGGTCAAAAGGATTGTCACAAAATAAAGGGGAAAACTATCCAAAATGTAATAATAAAATGCAACTAACAATATAATTATACATTTAGAACAGCAAAACAATTTTACAAAAAAAAAAATAAAATAAATAAAAATATTCTAATATTCTCAAATTAGTTGTTGAGGGTGAGAAAGTAAATATATATATATATTTTTTATGCATGTTGGCATTGTTTCTTAGTGACATTACTTTTTTTCAAAATATTATAGAGTTTGATTGGCTGCACTGCACTTACTTTACCCTCAACAACTCATTTGAGAATATTAGAACATTTTTTATTAAAAAAAATGCTTTTGCTGTTCTAAATGTACAATTATATTGTTAGTTGCATTTTATTATTACATTTTGGATAGTTTTCCCCTTTGTTTTGTGACAATCCTTTTGACCCACCCTCATTACTGAATGTTAAAATTCATGATGCTAGTATTGTAAGCGTATTTATTCCACTTTATGTCAATAATCTCTAAATTCAAAATCAAGTCGAACAGGAAACCCCACTCTGCTTGACAGTAAACCTGACGATGTTATCCAGTACAGTCTGGTTTAGTTGCTGTTCTCTGATAAATGGGGATGTGTGGCTAAAAATGGAGGTTGGGAGGAAGGTTGTTTCCTCCTCCTGTGGTGAGCAGGCGCTCCAAGCCGCATGGGGAGTCCTGATAGACACTAATGGATAGAGGAACGCTCTCCTAAAGCTCATTAAACCCCCGTCTCTCGCAGCTGTAAACCACACACGTACAGAGGTACACACATGTGCCCACGCACAAAAGACACGCAACACATTAACACGCACTATGGTAATGAAAAACATGGCACACTACACCACACAGCTGTGCCGTTGATGGAGGAAATATTGTTGCAGACGGAAGGATTTGCATGTCGTAGCATCATATGCGGCGTTCACTCATCTGTGATGGCAGGAGTTTCCCTTTATGTCGAGTGTAGGTTCTTTTGTAATGATTTAGTGTCAAATATTTAAGAGGATGGAAGGTTTCACGTTTAAAAATTGTATTTTTTAAGCATATACACACAAATGTCTTCATAAATCACATGGGATAATCTAGTTTCCATAATTGAAAAATGTTACAAATGGTTTGGGTGTACTGTCTCTTTAAACCGCTGTCCTCTCATGGATTCTTCATTATCAGTGTTTGATCAGCACCACAGAGTAGACGACCCGTCCTCTGA